AATATACACGTAATATTTAATATTACATGAAACGTTCAATCCTTTCTATATATAATCTTTACGTAAACTGGTACTGAATAAATATCATCTCGAGTATATAATACAGGTTCACGTTTTATAAAAGCATTCGCTTGTCAGACGATCGGACGTTAGTAATAGACATATCAATATTATTCGAAATATAATATCCATATAAACTCAATAATAACATAGTTATATTAAATCTAAATCTTATGATTAATTAGGTATGCACGAACAAATTGTTTCTCAACAATGTGAAAGGAAAATATATATTCTACGAAATAATATAAGACTAACGTATCCGTTATTGCTCTGTACAAATCGATAGAAGAAACGAATATAAAAGTTAAAAGCCATTCACCAAATTAAATAAACTAATCTAATGGATATTGGAAGTCCGAGTAACAAATTGATGGTTCTCTGTAATTTCGTACATTTCAAACACATTCATTCGGTTTCAAAACGTACGCAACACGAATGCAATAACACAAGATAATATATTAACTGACAAACTGTTACCAAACAACATCTGAGAAACTCAACGCCTTGACATTGATTTTATGGATAAATCCGTAATATTTCTTATTATATATTCTTTAACTTACTTTATATAAATATACATAAATATTCCTGGCTTTCAATAAAAAGATATTGGAATGTTGGAATATCATAACTATATAAATAATGATAATTGAAAAATTATTAACAGGCTTTTTTGAATGTTAAAATTTCTTGTTAAACATCTGTTTTGAAACAAATTCAAAATATTGCCACAAAATCTTTATGACAGACTAGTTTTATTAATTTCTATATTAATTATAAAACAATGTTTTACTTATTTATTGAACTCAACCTAAAATAATATAAAAATATTGTAAGCATGGTACTTTAGATAGAGATTTTCAAAGACAAATTTTGTGGACTATTGAAACCCAATCAAAAATCCTGATTAAAGGTTTTATAAACCTTTTAAAATCCACCACGAAATAATCTACCAAAAGTCTTTAGTGTTAGAAAAGTAACGGACTGGACAATATACTGACTATTTTACAAACATGCTCCCAACACGTTGAGACATGTTTCCTAATGAGAACAACATTTATTGAAACTCTGTAATAGATAACATCGCTGGAACATTAAAATGTTTGACGTTTAGCTATAACTTAATTACATAATTTGAAAACTTTGTTAGCGGCCTCCAGTGATGCCTTCAGTTATAAGGCAATTATAATAATGCTCCGACGCAATCAACGATCAAATATTTTATGCTATTTAAGTAAAACCTTCATTTATGTAATAAGTTTCAATGTTAAATTTTTATGTTTTGTTAACTTTTTAATTATTTTCATTTTATATTACATGATTACAAAACAAAACATTATCAGCAGATATTATTTTAGTCTCTATGAAATACCACACACCTACAATTACTAAAGTACTAAAAAAAATAAAATAAACCCTTTGTTTTGAAATTTGTAAGATTAGGTCGTTTCAAAACCTAGGACATATATTTTAAATATGAAGCTTGATACAATTTGTTGATCAAATTTTCAATCGCATTATTAACAATGATTGAAAACATCATCATTGAAGTGAATGATTTTTAATACTGCAATTTTTTATCAAATTACCATTTAATAATTGATTATAAAATTACAATAAGATATGCAACTTAATATGCGACCGAATAATTTTTATCTGCATAAAAATGTATATATTCATAAATTATTATTTCGTATAAAAAATATCAAAGAGAAATCATAATGCGTATTGTAGCGTAAATTTAGATTCTCATTTGGCGTCAACAAGGACAGTGGAACTGGGTTAAGGTGATTAATACATTAATTAGCTGCGACCACTGTTTCTTTAACTTACTTTTATGCTAGTTTTACTTTTATTACGCAAAACATTTTTAAATTAAGCCCTTTTGTTAACTTCAAGTGACAAATATCAGTAATTTATTCTTACGAACTTAGGAAATGTAATGTTTTTCAGCCTATGTTTTCGTTGTAAGACGCTTCTGTTATAATTGATAGATTTATTTTATTTCGCGTAATAAAGTCTTAAGTCAGAACTAATTATATTAAATTAAATATCGCGTCACTGTAGTGAAAATTCTATATCATTTACTGAAAGATTCAAATGAAATGATAAATCTTTAACATACCGAATAGTATAAAATTTTATCATGTTATTTCATGTTTCTGCCGCACAGTCTGCCAAAAGTTCATTTCATTACCAAATGAATCATATTTCTCTCTCAGAAGTTTATCATATAAGTAACGAAAACTTCACGAATATACTTTTAATTTATATATTTGATTCATAAATATGGAATATATGGAAAACATTAAATATTTATTACCTAGATACTTTTAGTGAAACAAAAATATCGACTATACATACATGATTTAATTTTTATTTGTATTTATTAAATTTGTATTTATTTTATTATTGACCTTGTTTTAATTTATATTTCTCGATTTTATTCCATAGACTTATGTAACTAATATAATTGTTGGTATCAAATTCGTATAGCGATTATTTGACCTTTGACCGGCGACATTGAGCATTCGTATTATATCGTTAATTTTGAAAAGCTAACCATTAATATAGAGATAATATTAATGCAAAGGGCCCTAGATGTAAATATATTTTCCTCATACCTAATATTTTAATTATTCAGAGAACTTGACCCCACTCTCGCAATTGATTCTGTCATTTACGTAACTGCATTAGAATCTATACATTTGGCTGCCAAAAAATACTTACGTAATCCGAATATCAAAACAATTAATGTAGAACTTCTTTGTATTTTAAAGAATAATATTTTTTTATATTATTTCTACTAAATAACACTATCTGTCCAGTTTTTTGATAGTTTCAACATATTGTATGCTCACCCCAAGATCGTAATGACATATGACTTAGGGATTGTTATAAAATTTTCATTCATAAATCGTCCCACATTATAGTGTAGTATAAACTGAGGTTTTTGAATGAAAAACGTGAAATGCCTCGTATGTAAAGTGACAATGCAGACTTGTACTAAATATGTGATACTATTGTAGGAATTATTTAATTTTAAGCACTATTTGGCGATTTATACCTATTATGTTGAATCCATTATAGTAAGTTTTATTTTTGCTTTTTTTGGCTACTCTTTTATCTCTTCAAAATACTATTTTATTACAGAATTCATGACTGTAGGACATTTTTTCTTTAAATAATAAATTACATACAAACAAGAAGCTGTCATGCGTGTCGACATTTTCATAATATATATTTATTGATTATATTTTTATAGCCGCGTAATTTCTATTTACCAAATCTAGTGTAAATTTTAGAGACAATAAATAAACCGTTGGATACCTATAAAACCGGGAACATCCATTATTAACGAGGCTATAACTGTAAATTAAACAAGTCCAACATTTAAACGTTATTGTTACTCAAAACCAGTCTTTATAACACATAAATAAATGATTAAATATATTCTGAATATAATAACTCTATTCTAAAAGTAGGTACATCGTAAAACACTATCTTTAAGGGCGAAAGATATTGATGTAGGAATAGATTATATAAAATTTCTATCATTAGCAACGCGTCGTTGCATTTAGAAAATAAAACTATTTCATGCAAATGAATAAATGACAGTTTCGCTCCAACGCTGTTGAGGAAATGTTGACATGTGTCATCCAATCTGTCACCCGAGATGGTTCCAGAGCTCTTGGTTCCAACCGGATATCGGTTTTCCATAACCTTTGTGAAACTTGTTACCGTTTTTGTTAAACATCTTTGTTATACAGGAATGAAACCTTTGTTTGACAGTAGATTTGAAGTGTTGTTGATTAGAATGAGACTTTATACCTATATATATTGATATATTACGAGCTTCAAGTCAACATAACTATTATTAAAAAACAACACCCGTCGTTAATTGTTTCGTGATTCTAAAATCATACGAATTTGTATAAATTGATTAATTTATGTGTGATTTCATTCAACTTAATTTTATGGTATTAAATATAAATTAATTTATTTTATTTTTTCCTTCAACGAATCTTGGCCTAATAATTATCATTGACCTTACTATATTATAAAATTCTGAGATCTTTTAACGAAAGGTTTTCGTTATAATAGAGGCAGTAATCATTGCAGGTGTAAACGCCTGGTTGACGGTTCAAACAAGACTTAACCATGCGTCAAGTTCTGTATACCTGCACAATAGTTGATTACTTTCTCTGCAAAATAATTCCAGTTTTTTTTTAAATCTTCCACTACGAATTCATGAAAGAGTTTTTAAATTATTTATTATTTTACCATCTTTATTCATTTTTAAGACTCTATTGTTTAATACAGATATTTTGAAGGCTGTTTTGTATAAAAATAAAAATTACAAACATCTCGGGATGGACAAAGAAGTGAACAAAAAACAAAAATTATTGAAAATATAATTCAATACTTATTCGAATTATATTCTAATTAAATAAAAACGAATATATATATATATATTTTATATACATACAATTTACCTTAATATTGATTAGCATTTTAATACGACAGTTCTCACTCATCAAATCATTCATTAAAATACATTAAAAACACGCGAATTCGTATCAATATTATGTGTTTTATTGATGTCAATATAAATATAGTAGGTCCATCAAATCCGCAGTCAGCGTAGATCTGCATTTGCTTATTAGGTCAATGCGATATTATGAAACTTGGAAGGCGTAACATTATATGTGCATTAATGTTTTGTCATTGTTATAGTGTAAGTTTTGAATCATTTCAACACTTTTTTGTATACTAAAACCTATTGAGACTCCGGCAATTTTTGTCAAAGAAAATTACAACATCCCCAGAAAAAAGAATTGATGAACCGTTGTCAAAAACTTATGCTATTGTTTTTAATACAGGTTAACGATATGGTTGTTTTAATATAAATATTATGTACAAATACATTTATATAATTACATATATTTAAAATGATTCCTAAGTTTATTTCTAAATTTTATAAACTTTGATACTTCATTGCTCTTGAGACCTGTTACGGTTCGGTTACTGTCTATAACAAAAATGGGATCGGCCTTTTCCTTCCGTTGTAAATCTCTGCTGACATCTGCTTTACTTACAAAATATATTGAAGGCATTTTTATGGTACTGCTGTCCGCGGCCTCGTCGTCGTGAAAGATTATATAAACCAACAAATCCTTTGCATCACCTTTACCGATTCTGATGTGCTTGGGTGCAACTGCTACTATAATTTTATAATTCTCTAACGTTTTGTCTATAATCGGTGAGTTCAAACTAGCGTTATTTGACGTCTTAGTATCATTTAACTCTAAAGGTATTCTAACAGGTAATAACATTCTTGCTATTTGGTTCGTGCATCCTATCCTCATATCCGCTATTCGAGGCACAATGTTCTCTGGAAGAAGGTCTTGAGTTTCATCCTTAGTCACATCCTGCGGTACCTTCATAAACAGACCACCGAATGATTTCATTTTGACGTCCTCCTTAGCAGAAACGCGATTGAATTTTACGGTAAAGCCATTATTAATTGGGACACAACAAACTTCGTATGAAAGTACAATCGTGAAATAAACTCCTAAGCACTGAAAAAAAAGGATTTTTTATTATTGCAAACAAATGAAAGTAACGTAAATTTTTCCATATATTTTTTATAGTTACCGAGCGTGAAAACATTCTGAAACGTCCTAACTTTACGCCACTCGTATAGAAACTAAGACGAAACATGCTGACTGCATTGTTTGCATTGTTTTCAAACACAAAATATTGGGTAAGGATGTTTAAAGGTTTTGTCGGAAAAGATAAACATGCTGGTATCATACAACAGTTGTATACCGATGGCATCATAACACGTTAAAACAACTACGTTAAAAAACACAACTCCATTGTAAAAAGACACAAATCAAACAAGGAAATGACGATATCAAATAATAGTAAAGATACATTATTGTGTAAGTTATAGATTAGGAACTCATTAAAAAACACACCTATATAGTTCAAATTATTATTCCAAAAGATAATAATTTATATGAATACGAAGAAGATTTTATTAAATTAACTGAATATAAGATATTTTCCTCGCAAGGCAAAACAACCACCATTTAACAGATTACTTACACGAAGTGTACCATTAAATAAAGTGTCGAGTAAATGTATCAAGCTGCAAGTAATTCTACACTGTAAAATTCTATCTCTCGAAATTGTTAATATAAACTGACGGAACTGCAATTAGACGACCATCAAAACTTTAAACTATATTCAATACTACATCTCTCGTCGTCTTCGACGTAACCTCAAGATATTGAGAATATACCTTCGTTGTCCGAAACTTATTAATTTTAAACATAAATCTATACATAGAGCTAAACAATATGTAACTTTATATACCTACATATTAATAATCCGTAGCGAAATGACGATACATTCCGTATTGTCATTGTAATTTCAGTTCAAAACAAACGGACTAAGTACATCATAATACATCAGTACATTGATTATGAATAACAGTTCCAGCTGTTAATCAAATTTATCTGATCTCTATTTGTGGTTATTGGATTATGAAACATTGATGAAGATATTACTTCGTCCATAACAGCTGACTGGAGGGATTTCAATCACCATTTATATAGCCAGTGTATTGTGTCTAGATGTTATTCATCTAAAAAATCCAATAAGCCATATAATATATGAGATAGCCATGTAATAGATACGTTTTGATATTCATACTCATGTATAGATAAAGAATTATAAAATGTCTTATTTACACACGAGTATAATAAATGCGTAAATATTATTTTTAAATATAAACAGAGTATATATATACTCAATTTGTTAGGAATGTTACAAAAGGGAATTGTGAAACATGAATTTGTCTTACTTTGCATAAAAGATTGATATATAGACTATAACTAAACTAATTTAAATGAATAACATGGACCTGAAGCTATCGAAGAAAAACAATTTTTGAAATGGAAAAAATTATAATTTGTTAACTTGTTTTAATACTAAGTAAATTAAAATAAATTCTCGAATAGAATTTTGCTGCATATAGAAAACTTTTCTTTCTCACTTATAAGCATTTTATATAAAAATATTTGTGAAAGGCTATTTTTTTTTATATTTCACGCCTTGCATCTTGCAAATAGATTTACTTGGAAATAGTATACATTTTCACATTAAAGGAGTCTCTTTACAAATAAAATTCTCGCCTTCCTTATTCTTAAAACTCACTTTCCAAAGTACATAATATATTTAAACTCGATGTAACATTGAATTTATGCCTCGCGATTTTTCCGCTTCTTTATAGTTGCAAGTCTAAACATATTCAATATAAAATGTTTGTGGGATCTTTATATTATGAAGGTGTTTTGGGTTATCTGTTCCATTAAGTAATTTATAGATAGTATATTTTAATAAATATTTGTTTAAAAAAGATTTATTTAGGTTTTCGTGTCAGTTGATAAACCCTATTTTAATTTTTTAACTCATTTAATTATAATTTTATAGGTAAAATAATATTACATAGCAAAAAATGTTATAGTGTATATAACGTAACTTTGACTTATTTTCTGATGCGAAGTCCGAGCATACATTAATTAAAATTTTCGAGGAACAAAATTGTTTTGCCTTAACTAATAAAAGTTCTTGCTAAATTTACCCGTTCTACAGCTTTTATTAATGATTAAATATTTGTAATTAAATGAGGTATATATGTATATTGTGCTATATAGTTTGCTACTTAAGCCATATAAACTATTTTAACTTAGAAATTTCAGTAATATGCAGCAGTACATATGGTTTTTTTATCCCTTTTCTGTCCGTACAGTGACATTTTATTACATGCACATTTATTTTTAAAGCTTTTCATTAATATAATGTGCAATACATATAGTGGAATATAAATATCAAAATATAATCTGGGATATTATAAAAGTTGTTTTTTCCTTACCACGAATGTGTAACATTTTGTATTCTTGTTTTTGTTATATTGAAATAATAACTACTACATAATATTTTCCTCTTATTAGTTCATTAAATAAAACACCTAGAACGGTTGTGGTTTTATAAAGATTATATATGCGAACCGACTTTCAGATGAAATGTAGTATTCAACTTTTAACAGATAGTATTTCTTACTTTTGACTTTCATTTGGAGCTGGAACGACAATTATGTTGCGCCTGCTTTTTTATGATATGAAGATACAAAACCATTTAATTGCTATTTAAATTTTAACTTGAAGTGTTGATTCATTTCATTCGTTCATTCATTCAGTGTTTAATCATTATTATAATAAAAAAATATTCAGATATTAATTAAACATATATTTTTTTAAATATTATTCTAAATACAAGCTGTTTTATTTTAACAATCGTAATTTAAATTGTAATTTTTAAAACAATTTTATTCTATCTATAAAACTACAAGTATTTGAATTTTTCTATTCCGAGGTAAAATGTTAAGAGAAAAATCGTATGTGACAGTTCAAACTTCCTAAAATTCTTCGACTGACAGTATTTATCCGTAAGATTAAACTATACAATTTAAAAGCATCACTTTTCAGAGGTATTTTTTTATTTTGTCTAATCTACTTTTATATATTCGGATAACTAAACTAATTTGATTCGACTGCATCCAAACTTATTTTTGCTAACAAGTTTGAATCTCCTGACAAGTTATAGGAAAAGTTTTTAGTAACTATATTCTTCAAATAACGCATTAACATATTATAATCTGCATTCATGACCAAAATTTTTCCAGAAAGTTTTTTTAAAATACATCGTTTTAGATGTTGTAATCACGTCTATTGTAATCTGTAGAGACAATTTTTATTATCTTCTATTGTTAAAGTAAAAACGAATGCTGCAGGATCCAGTATGCTTGTTCATTATAGCTTGTCAAGAATGAGAAAATTTCTGCAGCCTGATTTTCCAGGGACTAGAAAGAACAATAGACTATGATTGATTGCTCAGCTTATCGTGTGATCATAAAATGGTGAATGAAATACATTTCTACACATGTAAAATAAAATTTAAAATACCTTTTATTGTAATTTCAAAATTATAATATTCACCTACGCGGATGATTATACTGCTTTTATGATAAAAAAAAAACCTAAACAATCTTTTTATTTTTCCGTAATATATGTAACCTCTGAAAGGATTTTATCTGAGACATCTGCAGAAAGATGAGTTATGGTCGGCTTAAATAACCTCCCTCTTGAAGTCAAAAATAAAAACTGTTTTAAATGACTCAAGGGATATCAAGAATAGATGCAGTTAATTTAAAATAAGACAGAATAAGAATCTTGGATTCGCAAATAAATTGGCGTGTTTTTAAATTGTTTTTTTAACATACATATCTACTTAAGTCTATTAATTATAATATATTTCAAAAAAGATTCCTAAATTTGTTATATAAAAGAGATCTTTTTCTAACACATAAAAATAAACGAGTTAAGTCGACAACATTCACATCACAGAGTCCCAGACGAAATGAAAATACGCATCTTGAATTCTATTAGATGTACTTAAATAATATATTTTGAACGCCTGTCTTGGTTTCTCAGACATTTCCTTCTGAGCTTTGGAATCGAGCTACACAGTAAAACAATTCAGTATTTTATTATAATTCTCCTGACAACGTTTTTATGGTATTTTGGATACGTTTTAGATCTATGGGAAATAGGGAATACGTAACCAACATGCGTTTCAAAACCATTTACCTATTAGGGAGATTGGATTTTCATGAAAGCGTAACATTTACAAATGAAATGATAAACATATCATTCTGTTTGATGAATTTGTAGTGCCTATTGTCTCAGATTTCCCAATTTGTAATAGAACTTGTATGTAATCAACGGATTTGGTTACAAATTGTTTATTCGTTGACCAAGGAAACAGAATTAAGGTTATATTTTTAGAGAAAAAACCCTGTTGTAAACTATAGAAGGGGTTGAAATAGAACTTACAAACTGTACAGTAAGTGTTGCTGGCAATTTATCTAACTATTAATTGAACGTAGCTACATCTTTTACAAGCGAGTTTTCAATTGCAACTTGCAATTGCAAGTTTACAAATAGAAAAAAGAATAAATTGATTCAATGTAAAACTCAATTTATTGTATGGATGTAAAAATCGTGAAATATATAAAGATTACTTACCACTGTTATAAATAAAAACAATTTTGTATGTTAGTAAATATTAAAATTTACAATTTTAAAATTGTACATTGGAGTGCAACTATGTTTTACGGATATATCCTGTTTTATTATTTTATCGTACATTTCCCCAGCTATACGATTAATTTACAACAACCGTGACCACGGTAGTATATCTGAAGACGTACAAATTATATCCAAAAAATAAAATCGTTTTGGACTTACATGCAATACAATTTTTATTTATAAAATATCACCTTTCCCGACTCCAAAGCTATATATATAACATTTCACTTTCTTAACCACGTAGTATATTTCCGTAAAGAGAAAACTAATGAAATGTATATATATATCATGCTAAATTTGTAGATAGTAATAAGGGCATATTATATCCAATGTGCTATATCCGTAAATAGTAAAGGTTAATTAATTAATTAGTGGAATATGATTATGTGTTTATCACTTCGTAGGCAAGAATTTATCACGTGGGTGTAATATATATAAGTAATAATATCGACCGGGCTAAAACCATCCCTGGAAGACGTGGAATTAAGGTAGTTTTCTATTCAATAAACGGGCATTAAAAGAAAATTAAATCCTCCATGGAGACAAAACCATAATGTCTTAGCAACTTGTCTTTAATGGGTAAAGCTGATGTTGTTATTTAGCTTGTCTCTTAATAAAATAAAGATGGTTCTTTTGTTAGTTTTAAAGAACTTGCTTCGGTGGAACTCCAAATCTCGTTATGGGGCAAATCAGGTTATGTTCTCGGGGCATAAGTAACTTTCTGATGATCCTTCTTCCTGTGTCTTCCATCCCAGTACTGTTAACTTATCAGTGACATTCATGGTGGGAACGAATTCAAAATTTAAATCTGAGTTTTATTTCAGTGATAAGACAAAGCCTGATGGCAAAAACTTTTGGCTTCTTTCTGTTAATGGTCTTAAGTTGGACAACAAGATAAAACTTTCAATGTATGTTGTTTTTTGTTACACCTTCCATTGAACTTGAGAAGTCCTTCAGGAAATATTTTCTTATTTTTACAAAAATAATAAACGCTTAGATACTTACAGAACTTTAAGAAATAAGTTGTGCCTTGAGAAAATACTTTTCCTTACGTGTTTAATCAAGATCACATATTATTTCCCTATTTTCTTAGCAAAGAGATCGTTATTACAAACATTAATCATTGTTTAACGATGTCGTAATTACAACTTAAAATCTCTTTTAAATAAGCAATGAATTTTTGTAATAAAAAATGACCTTATAAAGATTAAAAGTAACTTATGTTAAGAAATAAATGTATAAAGGATATTAAAAGCTTTTATAGATAGATATTATATTAATTGAACGAGATGCACTCGTAGATAACGAAAAATAATTTACCAACTTCTCTGGTTCGGACTTATCTTACAATTGATCTCTATTATAACATTAATTCTATTATTGCTAAATGTTTTACAATAAAAAGTTGTATACACTACCGTCATATAACTTCCTTTCGATAAAATAACAGCTAAGTTAGGACTATTATAGTATGTATTTTTCAGTTATTATTAAACTTTGTACATTATCTTTCAATACACGTCAACACGTTAATACTATACTGATATGCTATCAAGGCCAAAGGTCTAACAGCAATTACTCCTTTCACCAACCAATCGACGACCACCACAATTCTTGCTTGATATTCTTGGTATAAATTCAGTAAACTTTGATATTTAACTTTTTTAAATATCTAATTATCAGATAGAAGAATGTGTTCTGACTTACATGTTTTCAAAACCTATATTATTTTATCATTAATCCGTTTCAAATTTATGTAATATTTTTGATATTTAAGATTTAAAAACTTCATTTTAAGCCAGTAAGGCTCCTACGATTTAAGAGAAAAATGTATGAATTAGACTATTTAAAAAAATAGTCAAGTTTTTGATATAAAATTCGGTGCTTTAATTTAATTGCATCATAACAGTTTCGATGAATTTAAAAAGCGTTATCAAAAAAAACACCGCTTTGAACCTGGGAAATATTATTAAAAAATTCCAACATTAATATTTTTAAAAGTGAATATTGTTCAAAAAATATCTTCATTTATTTTAAATTGAAAAATGTTGTTCGAACTGGCGAGTAATGTAAAAACAAAGGAACAAAACAAAACTGATGAAGTTAAAAATTTTCAAACTTTTATACGCTGAAAGATATAATTATATGAAAAATATATTTTTAAAAGTATACGAGTTAACTGACTTCTATACAATTATAGAGTAAATTTTTTGACACATATAGACCAGCCCCTATAATTTGAACTCATCCTGAATATTATTTCTGATAACAATACTTTTTCATTCTTCCCCCTTCTTTCAGGTTTGAATCTTTTAGTTGTAATTGGTTATTACATTATTGAATGTCACATCGCAGATAGTTACCTTTTAACCGGCAGTTACATAACTGACATTAAATTCTATTTCATTTGACCTTATTATTGACTTTCATCTTTTATTTCGTAAATCCTCTAACTTATCCTTTGTATAAAGGTTTGTCTGAAACATTTTTTATACGATATTATCGTGTCCTACGACTGTTTGTGAATTAGTCCGCTCGAATTCTCAAATTATTCTCTGCTAGCTATGTATAATCTATGTCAAAACAATAGAAATTATGCTAACTGACAGTCTGTGTATAGTCTACGTCACATGACCTAACACTACATACAACTGTTATAACCGGATCTAGCGGTAATTAAACCGAATGGAGGATTAAATTATGTCTTACTTTATTTCTTTTTAAGCTATATCACCATATAGTTAGATCAAAATCTGTCTAGCAGTTTTTGTATGAAAGAGCAACAGACATCTATGCATATTCCCAAAATTTCACAATTATTAATAGCTTTTAGATTACTTTATCAAAACTTATTCGGAAACAAAAGAAGTTTTAATTCATTTCCTATTTGTTATACAGTGTCTACATACTTTTGCAGGAATAAGTGAAGCGAAAACTCAATCAACTTTTCTTAAAAATAAACTAACGAATGAAGGTTTATTTTTACATCGATAAAGATTGTAGGCTGAAGAATTATTTAGATATATTTTTAAAATGCTTAGAGATAAATGTATTTAATTACTTGAAAAAGATATACATCTTATGTATATACGCCATCCTGAAAAAATGTGGTAATATCAATATTGTCAAATCTTCAAACATACTGTCATTCCTATTCAACTATGTATGTAATAAAATATTTACAGTAAATTATAGTCGAATATCGACCGTTGGGTCATATGAAAATGTTTTTTTATTATTTGAGGTCATTCGGACATTACGTCTGAAGGTTCATTTTCGACGTTTCCACAATTGGGGAAATATTACCCAATGGAGTATTATAAAATACAAATAAAAAAGACTTTATTACTTAGTTTAAGTTGCTTGACTTCAATGCTAAGGTTAAAAATATTTATACTAATTATAAAAAGATATTCTAGATATTTCATAGTGAGAAAACAAGCCGATCTTGTTGTAATTACGATATCGTATATAGAATCCTCTGAGACGTATAATTTGTTGAACAACACACGATAGAACGCGTTTTCATCTTAGTCGATAAACATGAATTCCACGAACACGAGTATATTTATTTCAAAGGAAGAATTCCATCAAATATATTGAATGCATAACAAAATATGTTTTTGAGTAAATTTTCAGAAGAGTTCAATGCGAATATTATGCTGTGATATCGGTACAAGGATTAAAACTCAAATTTTATTCTCGAAACCAATAATTAATTATATGCAACTACACCACCGTTATTTGCCAGCTCCATACACAAGAGCCTTATTTGTGTAAGATAAAAATAGCTTTTAACAACAATGACTCGGAGAAATCTTTTAAAAAGGAAAATAACTCTGCTTTAGAGTTTCTCGCAGTAAGACATTATATAATGGCTTCTTTCCCTTCGCCTCACCACTATTGTGTACTATAGAGTCAATTTTAAAAGATTGTAATTTCGATCGCTACTTTATTTTACTCGCTAACCGCTTATATTGCATGCCCTCATAATATACTGACGCTTTTAATAAGTTACAAACTAATATCGCTTTTGGTAATAAATATTCTGTCTAAGTTAATTTGTATTTTTGAAAAATCTGACGATAAGTTACACATCTTCGATGTTTTGTTTCCAAATGTATTAAGGTAAGACTTTGCTCACATTACATAAATTACTTTTCATTTAATGTCTTTAACAACCGTCTCATAAAATTTACCATTTAAACTTTCTATCTTAAACGCTTTCTGACCTGGAATCGAAGTTAAAATAGCCCGTAAACGTGGTTTAATGGAAGCATTAGGAAATAGAGATTTAAACAATTTTATAATAAATTGTAAGTTCTCTTAATACCTACAGAGAATTATATGAAGACGCTCAGCTAAAACTATGGATTAGTTTTTATTTTTAACATCATAAGTTACTTAAATAAAATAAAAAATACCTTTTATATAATAAGGTATTTGAATTGCTCTGGATATTATATGGTTTAGATCTTTTAGGGAATGTTTATGTGTGAAGACCGAGGCCCAAAAACTCATTAGTGAGAAAAATTTTGTAATTTCGTAATATCGTATTACCTAAAATTTGTTAAGAGGATTACCTACTGTTTTTGTTTTATTTGCACATTTACTCCAGCATTCCCGCCGATATAAGGTTGTAATTAATCAATTCTGTTCTTATAATCGTTATATTGTAATTTGTCTTAAAGCATCTGGTGTCTAATTACTTGTCAGAATTATCCGAGTGGAAACAACCTTTATACCGTTTGGAAATTAAAACTTAACGTACAATTCTTCATTATTTGAGATAAGTATTAAGAAAAACATAATATAACACAAGTATATATAACATAATAATATCTCGTTTAAAACTGTTGTACAAATTAAGAAGTATATTGAAACTATTATAGTTATTATTATGAGCATATTTTACAATGTCCTCCGAGAATACCTTACATACTTTTCGTTAAATATTTAGTACTTATAACATATAACAATATAAAATTAAAATTATAAATTATCATCCAGTTGTTCTTTTTAACGAACTTAAGTATTTAAAATACAGTTGAAATAAAAGACAATATTACTTATAAATAAATATTTTTATAACGCTATAACATAATAAAATTATCAAAATGAATCCAGAATTATATCTTTTAAGGGTATTCCAGTGAAAAGTTCGCATTGCTTTACTTATTTAAACAAATACCTTTTAACTGAGACTTCATAGTTTCGACTCGTCATCTTTTCCTTTATATTTAACGAATAGGACTTCGTGTTCCGAGGGTCTGTATGATGGTACTTGAGGAGATTTATCCTGATTATTCACTAAAACATATATCAAGGTCTTATCGTCACTAACACCCCATTTATTATATGCCGTTTCTAAAGCTGCTGTGTTTCTAGACTGACTTGGCAATTTTATTAGTATGATCTTAAAGGTTTTTTTTGGTGGCTCAGTTGCGGGTACGATTGGAGTCTCGTCAAACTCGGGGGGTGGTGCGTGAAAATATATGTTTTTCGTTACAACTGGTGAACTCTGTAATGCACTCGGAGATGTATTTGGATTATCAAGAGAAGATTTAGGATTTGTATTAATTGGGTTGTATATATTTTGATAAGTTGTAACACTCTGTGAATTTAAATATTCAGGTACGTCACTTTGAAAACTTGTTGATGAAGCAGTATTTTCAAATAAATTTTGGTTATTTTGCCTTAAGTTACATGGTGGTTGATTATTCACATTCATTGGTAAATTATTTTGCACGTTAACATTTTGCAATCCAAATTTTGTAGCTATGTTGCTGTTAGCGTTAATTAAATTAGGTACCAAATGTAAATTCTGAACGTTTTGCGCATTTATCGCTGTTGGCGGTTGATGTGTGAGAATTTCATGACCCTGACCCAATAAAGGCATATACGCATTGTTGCTGCTACTAAAAAATCGGTTAACTTCACCGGCAAAAACATTAGAATTCATTTCATTTCCTATTGGCCCAAACTGCCGATCAGCCGGATTTATTATATTGTTATGATGTAGAATATTATCTTGGTAATTATTAATATTATTTCTTATATCACTGTACTTCTGCTGTTGCGCAAAATTATAATCCTTGTACGATAATGAAGAGGATATCTTTTGTTCGAGTGGGTTTGAGAATCCATTTTGCGTTTGTTGTACGGAGTTTGGGTTGTTTGGTAATTCCAACCTAACATCTGGTTTCCAGTAGTTATAGCCTCCTTGGACACTCTGAAGCACTGCTATTACACTGGCAACCTACAAGAAACATATTGAACATTAACAAAATACACTATTTACTTCAAACTTTCCAAAGTTTTACGAACCTTTAACAAGAACATATCGAACACGGACTCAGAGTGACAAAACGCAAATGAAAAAATATACTCGCTAAAGCTATATATAAAACTTTCCCCAAACCGGGCCTAAATATTATGTTTGATAATTTTGCATAAAGCAAGCGTTTCTAATTCAATCTTCCGTCCTCACATCTGAGGATGTGGACATATTAGTTTCTATTTATTACGTTTTTTAAACTTCTTGTTTATGCCTATCAAATACTTTTACTCTCAAATAGTTTAATGCAAAAAGCAATTTTATTTAAACACATATATTATATTCCTTATTGTTTCTATGGTAAGTATGAAAATATAAAAACGCTTATCGCTTTTCTCGTAAGCGTCAACTAGATGTTAGGGAGCAGCTATTTTAATTTATAATTTAAACGCGGACATTATTTAAATGCAGATGATCAAAGTTTATAATGATGACTGATGTTACATAGAAATACGCATTTCGGTATAATAAGGTAGTAAATTATGTCATAATATTTTTTTCACTAGTTTTTAGATAAATAAGAATATATTGATTAGGTAAATTGATTGTAGGTTATAAATTACTAACATCCAATTCCATAGCGTAGCGTAGCTGAAATACTTTAATTAATTATACAATCTAGATTCTAGATTGTATAATGAGTTATCTTTTTCAATTTAAAATTTAACGGTACAAGGAACTTAGTTATCTATAGAAATTCAGATGAATTCAAGAAATTCTCCATAATTTGGTTTTTGTGAATGCTGTAAAATTTGTTACGCTAAAACAAATACACGTACTCGTATATAATTTAGTATTTTTGGAAGTAATGTGAGATTATACTTCGAGTATTCAGAATAAAATTCATTACATTAAAAAAGTTTGTGGAAAAGAGAAATATAATTCTTGTAAAAATTAAGCATAACACATAAAATTTATATAAATAACGCTGCGGTCTTTTGACGCACCCTCCAACACGTGTAATATTTCAGTATCATAATATTCGTCAGTGTTCTTTATCTTAATAAAAATGTTTGTAATGAATTTGCTAAATTAACATCACTACAATTTTATTAAATTTTCTATAAGCTTATAATAGCAGGACCAAATGAATTTAAACCTATCTTTTACATTTAAAATCGCAATTAAGGTATAAGTAGGACACGAACAAAAAATATATGACAATGACATTTAAATGAACAACATTTTTCAACTGCAATTTATGTTCTTTCATCTTTAGATTCAGAACAATAAGAAAAAATCGTCTCCGGCAACGGAATTTTTATACAATATTTTACATCTTTCGTGACTTTTTTGGTATTTTATTTTATGTCATTTATTAAACGGATAAAACATGCATTTCTTGAGAAGCATCTGAATCTCAAAATTAAATATTCAAAAGGCTTGCCAACTTAATATTTTTAACCTGACGACTGATGAAGCCAGACTTTGCCTTTATTCTTTGCTTATAAATTATTAAGCTCGTCTGCACCTTATGTATTCTCTGCTTTTATAATGTAAAGAAAAAAGTCTACACACCAAAAATATTATATTATAAATTTAAACATTATATTATACATTTAAAATATTACATTGAAATCTCGAAGTATGTTTTTCTATTCTACTAATTCATCTAGTTAAGTCAGAGTCCATTTTAGGTAAAAATAGTAGTGGATTTTAGTGTAATTCCGAGTGGAAAGTCATAAGATAAAGTTTTCATTTGAATTTGCACAACATTACAGTAATTTACTGGTAGATATAAATATTTTGAACTACATTTTTGTTCTATAGAAAATTACCAACGAGATGATTACAAGAGATCATTTTCTATTTTACCCATTCAAAGTTAAATCAACTTCTTAAACGAGCAACGCCGCAGAAAAACTAGCACAAGACATACATATTTCTTTCAGTAAACGTAAAGAACGACTTCACCTCGGGTCTAACTCCTACTTTACATCAAAGAAAATAAAAAGTAATGGTTATCCAACAATATTTTATGTCTTTGCAGAACTTTGTCTGAAAACACGTTTATAGAAATGGAATAGCAAACATTCGAACTTTCACATTTAACATATTAATGGTGTTGTCAAAAAGACATCTGCGATTACATATTATACGTGACGAGTATATTGTATCATCTTTTTCCAATCAAAACCACATTAAATACTTAACGGTCATAATTAAACGACTTTCTAGCATAATTAGCGGACCGAATGGTTTTATTTGAATTATTTTTAACGAAAACACTATATCATATGAAAATTCATGAATCACTAATGTCATATTATAAATACAGAAAATTTTGACGCCTATTGAAATCCTATGAATGTTTAAAGATTTTTTTTTACATTTAAATACAACGATATTTCTTTGTTACAGTTACTGAGAAGGAAATAAGACTTTGGTGAGTATGACACTAATTTTAATATATAAACATTCTTTAACTATACTTAACCTAAAATAAATTTTATAAATCCAATAACACTACAATTCATGACAAATTATTCCTTTACATAGGCACAAAGGCTTTTTGAAGGATTGTCCTAACGGCCTCCTGACCGAGCAGGTAAGTACTGTCGATACCGAATCAGTAATTTAACAACCCTGACCTAATATAATGAGAATAGATTCCACACAAATCACATTTATATTCGGCCATTTGATGCGTCATCGATATGTATAATGATAACAATTTATTCATTAATACTTTCAGGGATTCATAAAGATCTACAAACAATTCTTCCCTCAAGGTGACCCGAGCAAATTCGCCTCCTTAGTCTTTCGGGTCTTCGACGAAAACAACGTGAGTTATTCACAATTCTACTATATCTAAAAACGTTAAGTTATTTGAATATTAAATCAACGTTTTCATGTTCTTTATTCCATCATGGTCACTCATTAATATTCATAAACTTCATACAAGTAGGTACATTTACATTTTGTGTTCTACCAATAACCCCAATCATATGGCTCCCAAAACAGTTTTTGGCCGTTTTGTTGATTGTACACATTTATTGCTTTAGTTTTATTGGATATTTATTCTCTATGGATTGTTTTATGTAAAGAATATAAATATTTGGTTTTCATTTAATGTGATAATAAATTTTATTTTGTTTGGTAATACATTTTTCGATCAAATGATCACAGACTAAAATTTACTTTGATTTAAATATATTATTGCTCGTTTTATCCATTAAATCCCAGAACGCAGGTGAAATTTTACTGCGAGTGAAATTTATTTACCATTCATTTTATAATTTTCATCTCCATAATCTTACCTAATCTGTTAGAGAGTTTCTTATAAATAAAAGACTTTGATAATAAGTGTTTTTTAAGGATGGCTCGATCGAGTTTGAGGAGTTTATACGGGCCTTATCGGTGACGTCAAGAGGAAATCTTGATGAAAAGTTACATTGTAAGTACACTTCATTAAACGACTGGTCAATCCTGTTATTTACATTCGATTTGATGTATAAAACTTTAGAGAACTAAAATATTGATAGTTTCTAGAATTATATAACTATTTCATTTACAAATGATGATTATTTCAGGGGCATTCCGTCTTTATGACGTGGATAATGACGGCTATATAACGAGAGACGAGATGTACAACATCGTTGATGCGATCTACCAGATGGTGGTATGGAGACATAGTTAGAATAATTTAACGCTATCTTCTAACACATATTACTTGACTTTTGAGCCCACACTGTTCGTTTCTATATAGATATGTAAAAAGCATGTTATAATGATTATCCAAATGATATCTGCAGTTGTTTGCAATAGAGAAAATACTCGTTTGTTGAAAGGATTCGTGCCGCGTCCACCACAAAATAGCTGTTCAGAGTAATTAGTGGTCGTAATAACTCGTAGTTACTCAACAGTTTTCATTCAAACCGAACAACTCAAACAGGTATCCGGTAAACAATACGAAAAGGTCAATTTTTTAAACATTATAATATTCCGATTACTATCAAATGTGACAAATATTTCAGGATCATCATGAATTTTGTTTGAAGGAGCATGTTTGAATCATAGCCTTGTATTTCCAGGGTCAGACTCCCCAGCCGGAGGATGAGAACACTCCACAGAAGCGCGTGGACAAGATCTTCGATCAGATGGACAAGAACCACGACGATCGTCTCACATTGGAAGAATTCCGTGAAGGCAGCAAGGCCGACCCACGCATTGTACAGGCTCTGTCACTAGGAGGTGATTAATCGACGGTTATACTCTCACCGGATTTCTCATTTTCCCCTGAAAGCGATAATTAATTATGTATATCATATATATGTGCATACGTTAATTTTGTTTATTTGCCAATATGAATTGTTATAATTGCGAGGCTATTAGTATGTTTAGCGTTTGGGTATTGAGTGTTGCGATCGATTCTCGTATGGCTTAATGGAATTGGACCATCAATATCATAGCTCTATTCTAATTTCTAAACTTTTGAAATTATATAAAACAATTTTGACTTTCTCGTCTCAATTCAAATATATTTGCAAATAACTAATTCGAGCTAAAACCCCAGGATGAAGACATTGATGTTTGGTATAATACATCTTTGAAAATCTCAAAACGAACTGGTATGTATTGAACAAATCATATGTGTATGATAAGATGCTTACTGAAAACAATTATGGAAATGACACGGATAAGATTTACTGGATTGTACTATTTATATATGGCTGACGGATATTAAAAGCAGTACAACAATTCGACTCGCTAACAATTAAGAAGATAAATTAAAATGTAGGTACTATATATTAGCTAAAAAGGCGTTTGAATTATAAAATTACAGATTCTTGCTACTAAATATATATTTATTTCTTACTTAGTCTAAAAAAATATCATCACATTTGTTATTATGAGATAACAAGTGAATGTAGTTCATCCGTCACCCATGATATATTCTCTCGGCAACAGCTATAAAGATATAGGGTGTGTGGTGTACACTGCAGTGTTTTGTAATGATCCTCGCGTCTAAAATTTCGTGTTGGCAAAACAAGGATTACGTATTCAATAACGTATTCATTATGAGTTTATTTATTTATCGATTAAAAGCTTTCAAATAATGAGATAAATCCGCGTGAGAGGATTGGCGTGGGAGCCAATGTTAATCGTAACATAGTTTACGATTCAATCGATGTCATCGTTTTCGCAAAAGTGATCTCATCTTTACATTCGTTGCTGGAGGCGACAACAAGGATATATAAAACGAAAAACAACCTTCGTATATCGCGATATTAAATCAGCGTACCTACTATTGAGAAAATATATCGAATCGATTTTCATTTAACAATCGGTATTACTATTACCAAAAGACGAAGAAACTTATGAAGACATTCGCAATACACGGCCTCACAGTGACTTTTACAGTTGACGAAACTGTCAAAGTTTTGAAGTTACTTCTAGGCTAATCATTCTACGGGACAATTCCGTAAATTTTTATCCATGAATATAAATGGACAAACTTGAAAAAATTTACAGTAATCGTTAATTATGTAATGGTCGCTATGGTGTTATTATTAATAAATGGTTGATGACCATAGATATTAACATTTTTCTAAACATTCCACACATAGGAACTCAAAGTTAAAAAAAAAAACTATTGGAGATGTTATAACAACATAATAATAATAATTGTTGATTGTTGAATAATTAATTAAAATTAGGTTTTTTAGACTATTACCTGATAACGAGTTAAATTAACATTATTTATATTTTGAGACAATATAAATTTAAATAATGACGCGTAATTGTTTTGGGTTTTTACTACCCTATAGTTACTAAAAGTTTTATGAATATGCTTAGCAACAATTTTTTTGTTTCATAAACTGACATCTGTTAGGTTTTATAATATAAACGTAAGTTTTAAATGAAAATTAGAGATGACAGATTATGAAATGACATCAATGAAAGATAAACATAAAAAGTTTGACAGATAAAAAATCATTGTTCACTGAAGGTACGTAACGGTGTGTTTAGAATCAGTTTGTACTACCAAATGTAAACGCTTACACTAGCAGTACTCAGTTATATTTAAATGGCATAAAATGCTATCAAAAATTTGTAAAACATTACCATAAAATTCGAAGTATCTAGATTTAACACGCAAAATCGCCCTAAGCACACGATACCAAATCTTTGGGGGAATAACCTCTTTTGCCATTATTTTTTAGGCTCTAACTATTTTGTCTTTTTTAGGTTAGAACCTAGAGTCTAAACCATAACTGGAAAAATTACCCCAATACTTACTCGTAACATAAAAATGACGATTGCAACATTAGCTTTTTATATTGTTATAAAATGTCTCAAATGGAAGTCTCATCTTAAATCGCTTTTAACTAAATAGATTTTTGTAATCCTCAGCGTTTTGAAAAAACTTTAACAAATTTAAAGTAAACATCGCCTTAAATATCTACGATAATTTAACTCTCGGGAAAATATTCCCAAGATTCATTTTGAACAACTTCTATCCCCGTATCCCAATTAGGATAGCTATGCCGTTTATAAGTTCACTTTCCTTCTTTGAAAACATGTCACTCATGAATATTGTTGTCTTAAGAGCAGCATGTTATTAAGATTACATTATATTCCACTCGAGCCCCATAGCTTGCTTAGGCGCACTCGCATTTTTTTTAAATTTGTGACTTTGTTTTCAGCTTTTCAATTAATTAAAAAAAACGGTAAACCGTTGATTTTATGGTAATTTCGCAAGTCAATTTGTCAGCAATGTAAGCTTTAAAATGCGTTCCGTAATTAATTAGAGTAGGAGATTCTTAGGGCTGTGCATTTCAACTAGGTGTAAGTGTTTTGATCTTGCGTGAGTTATTAACAGAAAGGTACCGGAATGCTACTGTTTGAGGCTGATTTTTATTTAAAATATACGCACTACATGAAACATTTATTTTTTTTCTTATAATATAGCTAATAACCTTTTACTATCTAACCTTTAACTCTTTGGTAGCATCAGTGCATAGATACTGTCTGGTTTAACTTAAAAAAAGTCTTATGAACTTAATATAACGTACTTTTAGCGGCATAATTAAAAAAGAACCTTTACCTTCAAGAAGCAATATTCAAACCGAAATTCTAATGTTCCGTTACACAAAATTTTATCTTAACTTTTGGAAACTTTATTAAACGAGTTCACTTTCGCGACGGCAGCGAACTGAATATTACATTCTTACCAAAATATTTACCGTTACATTTTAGATAAGGTTTGAATCTATACAACATCGGTGTACGCTTAATTATTAAACATCTATATTACCTTACTAAATGGTGTTTACTGAGAGAAGAACGATTGAAATCTGCGTTGAGATGACGAATATCAAGCACATAGTAAAATTTGAATGCTACAACGATGTTGCATAGAAAAATTTTAGTTTGTTAAAATATAGCATTACAAATTATATAATACCAATAGGCTTCAGTGTTGTCAGAGATTAACCTTTACTCGGTCACATCTCTTTTAGAAATTTAATCGATTCTGAATGAAGTTACCTTCATTATAATTGTTAGATGTAGTTAAATGTTAATGTACACGTTACAATTCACTTAAGCAGAAAATTTTAAATGTGTAGTATTACAATGATAACATTTATTGTGTATTTAATCTGTATTACAGGTAATAAAAAAAAATATTAGACACAGTTTACATACTTGCATTGGAGAAAATAATTAATGTTTACAAATTAAGATTTCGTTGAACATGATCTAGTGATAAAAATTTGAAAATAGATAATAAAACAGATTCATAATATCTAAACGAAACAGAACTAAATCATAGAGCAATTTTTTTATTACCTGTACTTAAATATGTCTAGGTGTAAGTTTAGACTATAAATTAAACTTTTTTCCTTCAGTTCGCTGCCTTAAATATTTCAATGGATAACCCTTCCATAAGTAGAAATCTTTATATATCACTGTAAATACTATTAGCCTACTTTACTCCATATTATAGTACTATTCACTTTTAATATATACTTGATTATTAATAAAGAGTTTGAAATCGATTTGTCTTTTATTAAAACGATCTTGTTAACACTTATTTAGTATTATTATTACCTAATATCCACTGAAATTCCCTTAATACATAATATACAGTGTATTGTATTATCTTTTAATCACGACGGCTCTATTGAAGTAGTTAAAGCCCAAAAATAAACAGCAACGTGAAATTTAAAACAATATAACTTTTTTAATATAAAGAGCATACTTTAATTAAAAAACATTCGGTTCTTTCATAATGGTTTATATTGATTACCGATTAATTTCACAAAGGCTTGAGGCTAAAGATAATAATGATGATGTTCTATATCTTTGAAAGGATTTAAATGAGTTTTTTTCTGAACGTAGGAAACTCTGTAAATTAATAAAAGATGTTTTATTGAGGACCTAAATATTATATTCAAAATTATTACGTATCTAAGAAAAAAAACTGTTATCTCAAAAATTAGGTACTCTTTTCATCAATAAATATAAATATTTGCAAAAAATGTTAATTGTTAATATACAATACAAATTATACTCTACATGTTAATTGTTGGAGCAACTAGAACGAGATATGCAAGACGTTACGTATTGCGGATTTAAAAATGAAATAATTTTTTTATCAAATAGGTCTCTAAGATGCTCGTTTTGCTGAAATCGATTTTACTATGTTTGAGGACCAAATTGTATGTCGTATAATGTTAGTATTTATCTAAGCTGATATTATCAATAGAAAATATAATCTTACCGTTCCTTTGTAACTTTTTCACCGTTAATTGCTTATTCGATTTTAATTATATGGTACAAATACATAGATAGAACTTCGAAGATGACTGCATGTTTAATTTGGTTTGTTATGTTGGTACTTTACTTGAAATCAGTTATACGGAACCTAAGTACATAACTAACTTAGAATTCATAATGCCCAAACTCTAATCACATCAATAAATAACTCGCAGTACCCTATTACTTATAATTTATCAAAACTCAATTGTTTCTCCTTTTTATCTCGACATCAAGATCTAATTTATCAATGACTTTTATTAACGCTGGAACATAATAGAAGCTCTTAATACGTAATGGTCTTAACAAAGCAGAAGTCGTTGATTCGTTACGCTATATATTATGATCATTAACGTCATCTCTCGTCTTTTTCTCATTAAGTGGACATCGTGTTAGTTTAACGCTATATAAATTTAGTTTAACCTTAATATAAATGTCTATAAAAGGTATTACTTTTATTTATTTAGTTATTTACGTCTCATAAATTGTAAAAAAGTATGTTCTCTATTTCTAAGAATTTGTATAGAATTCGTATTAAATCAGATTTTTATAAAATTTGAGTCGGAGTTTTTATACTTATAAAAATTCTTTCAATAATGCTATATAATATCCATTAAGATACTTCTGAAAAAGTTTCATATTTATAACACACGCGTATTAAGCATAAGATAGTAATGATTTTTTTTAATTCTGGTACTACTGTGTGATATTTTTTTATTATTTCGATGATAAAGCTATGAACACTAAGCACTAACTCTAAGCGTCCAGTAAAAAATTGAGAAATCAATTGTAGTGTGTAATGAATGTTCAGCAACTTCGTCGAAATTAATAAAATACACATAAATATTATTAAGTATTAAACATATAATATAATAGTAACCTACTGGCAGCGCCATCTATAATCTGCGACGCGAGTTCATACACAATACAGCTTGGTAGTGAAATGTTCTTTAAACCACCTTAATAAAATATCTAACTTATACCTGAATGAAGGCGTGACAAACAACTGTTTACCCCCACAAAATTTCCCATATACATTATCAATACTAATAAAACCATCTTAAAAATAATTAATGTCTAAAGAAATCTACACTATGAAATAATAAAACACAAACAATTAAGAGTATATCGTTTTTATTTTTTATATTATGCGACCCGTTTTTACGAAGATCATTTTAGACATTACAAAAACATTTAAATACAATTTACGTACACAAATGACGAAATTAAATTGTGTGAACACAGTCGACAGTACAAAAATGTAAGATCAATAGTTATAAGAAAGTAGATGAAAGAAATGATGTATGTATGTAACTTGAGGACCCGTCCGCAAATGTTTCCATACAGTACAAAGTTTGCATCGTCAACTTAAAAGACCGTATGAATAATCCCATTCGTAATTCTACAACGTTGTGATTTATATTCTTTGATATATGACGAAACCGATTATATCCGATGATTTATGGATCAAATCCTAGGAAAAATGTTAAGCAAGCTTAGAAAGTATCTTGATAGGAAAAATAAACTATAATTCTAAGATTATGAAATTGTACTAAGAAAATTTTTAAAGCAGAGCAAAGATATCAAAAAGTGTATGTGAAACTCATTCACTTTCAACTGTAAATTATGTCATAATTCATATTATTTTAGTACACATTCCAATTGTATATAATTCATGTTTCTTTGTTTAGTCAATACTAAATAAATAAGGGATCCAGGAGTAAATTTCATCTTTATTACTTGAAATTGTTGCATTGATGCTATTGAAATTACGTGACAAACTTGGTTGAGACATAATTTCAGTTTTTAAAGGGAATAAAACAATATTACAGATAAATCAATAAACTAACTAAATCCAATAAAATTTTCTAAACATTTTATTCGACGACTGAGTTCACACGGGATAAACACCATACATATGCAAGTATTATATTATGATTTTAAATAACAAAAAATACAATTCTAAAATACATACTTGTATCCTAATCATGAGTCTGTTAACGCAATAACATATAATTAAGTACGTATTAGATTTCATAACAGGTATAGTCAATCGTCATAATTCAAAGGCCATAAAGGATTGACCATATGAAGAAACATAACTGGTTTAGTTTCGGATACTTAGTAAAAAAAAGGTACAATTATTTTAACACCCTCACTCAGCTAGAGTTGAGAGTGGCGGTGTCCCGCATCAGGAACACCGCTCCAGGACCCGACGGCATTTCAGGCCGTGCCTGGACTCTAGCCATTAAGGCTCTTGGGCCCCGACTAGCGAGGCTCTTCACCGCCTGTCTGGAACAGGGCCAATTTCCAAGCCGGTGGAAGACTGGAAAACTGGTCTTACTCAAGAAAGAGGGGCGCCCCGCAGACACACCGTCTGCGTATAGGCCAATCGTGTTGCTGGATGAAATATGTAAGATCTTTGAGCGAATCATTGTCAGTCGCCTTGTCCAGCACATGACCAGGGTAGGACCGGATTTAGCAGACAACCAATTTGGCTTTCGCCAGGGACGCTCCACTGTGGATGCGATCATGCGCGTAAAGGCCCTCACGGAGGAGGCAGTCGCTCGGGGACAGGTGGTGTTGGCGGTGTCGCTCGACATCGCCAACGCTTTTAACACTCTGCCCTGGAATACCATCCGAGAGGCACTGCGGTACCATGCGGTGCCACGCTACCTACAGCGTATTGTCGGGGCTTACCTGTCCGAAAGGTCTGTGGTGTACCCGGTTCGAGAAGGATGGGGTCGACGAGAAACGACGTGCGGCGTTCCGCAGGGTTCGGTGTTGGGGCCGCTACTGTGGAACGTAGGATACGACTGGGCTCTACGCGGTGTGCTTCTCCACGGTGTCAACGTCATTTGCTACGCTGATGACACGCTAGTTACAGCGCGTGGAAAGTCGTACCGTCAAGCAGACATACGTGCAACTGCTGGTGTCGCGCACGTCGTGGGCAGAATACGGCGGCTGGGCTTAGAGGTGGCATTGCACAAGTCCGAAGCCCTATATTTTCATGGGCCGAGAATGAAACCGCCTTCGGGGTCCAGCATCATAGTAGGAGGGGTGTCCATCGCTGTCGAGTCGACGATGAAGTACCTTGGAATCATCCTCGACAGTCGGTGGAACTTCGGGCCGCACTTTACACGGCTCGTCCCTAGGTTGTTGGTCACCGCCTCTGCACTCTCGCGCTTGCTGCCCAACGTGGGGGGGCCCAACTCCTCGTGCCGGAAACTTTACATGGGGGTCTTACGGTCTATGGCACTATACGCCGCGCCAGTGTGGGTAGGTGCCCTGACAGCCCGCAACGTCGCTGCATTGCGAAGGCCGCAGCGCGCGATGGCGGTTAGGGTCATCAGAGGTTATCGTACGATCTCCTTTGAGGCAGCGAGTCTCCTAGCCGGATCCCCCCCCTGGGACCTAGAGGCAAAACTCCTCGCAACGCTTTATCGGTGGCGCGCGGAGGCGGTCGAGAGAGGCGAACGCCTGATGCCTCGACTCATAAGAGCACGGAGGGCGGAGCTCCGCCAGGTCCTAATGGCGGAGTGGCAGACGCGCTTAGCGCAACCCACGGCGGGGCACGCCGTTATAGCAGCGGTAAGACCTGTTCTGCAGGAGTGGCTGAATAGGAGTCACGGCGCCCTCAGCTTCCGGCTAACACAGGTACTTACCGGACACGGTTGTTTCGGGAAGTACCTGTGCCGCATAGGTCGGGAACAGACGTCCCAGTGCCGACATTGTGGTGACTGTCCCAACGATACGTCACTGCATACGTTGGCGGAATGCTCAGCTTGGGCCGAGCAGCGCCGTGATTTGGTCGCAGCTGTAGGTGTAGCGGGTAACCTCTCTCTCCCGACAGTTGTACAATTTATGGTGGGGAGCGAGTCAGGGTGGTGTGCCGTCGCCACCTTCTGCGAGGCAGTGATGCGCGCAAAGGAGGTAGCGGAAAGGGAAAGAGAGGTTGCCTCCTTTCTCCCCTCCCGCACTAGACGCACCGCGCGCCGTAGGGTGACCGATTTCCGGCCACCGTAGAGCGCGGCCTGTGGACGACAGATTCGGGGCATCTGTCGTCCGATAACAGCTACAGGCTTCGAGGGGGAGGCGTGTAATCCGCGCGCGCCTCATAGTTAAGGTGACCGGGTATAGACCGGGTGACGGGGCCCGCCTGACCATCTGGCGAGTCAATGCCTGTCGGGGAGGTAGCGATGAATGCTTCGGCGATACCCACCTCTCCGGCACACGGGTAGATGAGGCACACGGGTTGGTTTTTAGTCAGTAGGAGTCTGACAGTCCCCTCCGTCCTTCCCCGAGGGCGGTGGGGCTCCATGAGGATTTTCCAACCCGACACAAAAAAAAAAAAATTTTAACACCCTCGTTAATAACTTTGGATCTGAGTCTTCAAAAAAAATTGTCTTTGGGAGTTTTGATATTAACATATTATATGAAAATATTAATAACTAAAGATTTTATTTACTAATCCTACTTTACTGTTCCAACACAAAAATATATATGTTTAATCAATTGTTATAAATGGAATCATTGTTTATTACAGAAGAAGATAGAGAAGTAAGAAGTTAAAGAATCATACACAAATATTATAAATTTATACATATTCATTTTATGTTAAAAGGTTGTTTTTTAACCATAAATGTTAGTTAAATAGACATTTTATCAATAGAAGACAGTTTAATTCTAATATGCTCAATTGGCTGAATGTTTTAACACATGTTACATATAACATAAAAAAAATCACTTAATTATTTTGTTTAATTGGACAATAGTTAACAGACTTCATATGTTTCAGAATAAGACCACAGGTTATACTACACATTCATTTAAGATTAAAATTTAGCACCTCATACAGTTGAGAAAATTTCTAAAGAATTAATATTATGAAATTGTTTCGATAATAACATTATTTAATCATTATTAATCTCGATTTAGTAATGGAATAATTTCAAATATCAAGTAATTTAATGTAATACACATATAAATAAATAGTCACACAATATTTGTATTCTTTCACAATCAATAAATTTGCATCATGTTATATTTGTCAATCGGATCATATGAAAATATATAAAACAATTGAAAAATAAATGTCACTCACAATATAAACTATACTAAACAGCACACACATAAAAAATCTAATATTAAAAAAAACTAATATAATAAATATTGACACGGACAATTATAATTTACAAATGGCATTGAACAAACTAACTAAATGATATTTTAAAAAAATGTTAATATATCACTCAATCTCTTTAGGAACGTAATGGCAACACATTTTTTAATAACCAATATGGAGCATGAATTGTGTTTATAAGGAACTGAATGTATACATTATATGATTATGCCGGGCATTGCCTGAGATATTCAGAGTCAAAGTATACTACGGTTACTGTGATGTCATCTCTGAACATACGACTCACATCTGGTGATAAACCCAGTAAATGAGCCAATCTTGAATGATCAACACCATATTCGGTACCACCGATGGCATGCCTTATGAGATGAGTGGCCGCATTCCTATCTTTTGGTTTACTCTTCAAACTTTCCTTCCTATGAAGCAGTAGCTCATTGATGTCACCTAATTGTATGTTATTCTTTGGCAATTTAAGTGGATTGAAGAACACTTTTCCCTTCATATGCTCACCGACCAACTTGACAGCTTGCAGCGGAGTCAACATATCCCATAGACCATCAGAGGCTATCACCATAAATTTGTCTTTAGAGGTCAATCTATGATAAAATACATCCGGTTTGGCTGTCAAGTATGGTGGTGTATTATAATTGGCTGGAACACCCTTCTGACCAATTAATGGCACCACTATGTCAGTTAGTATTTCACTTTTCCATTTATATCTATAGTCACCCATACTCCTCAATGGCGCCAGTTCACCCAAGAGACGATCCCTCCTGATAACAGTTCTCCGTTCCTCCTCCGGATGTTCACTCCATATTCTCTTTAGCTCGTCGTGATTCTCTGCATTGTGCTCCTTTGTAATTTTCTTTGCTGACCATTCATTATCTTCGTTGATTGTTCCAACAACTGCATTGCAATCACCAACATTTGCAACATACAGGTGAGGTCCGTTTATATATGACACACAAACCACAGCACCAGACAAAGCCACAGACAATGTCTTATTATTTATTGTACCGCTTTCTTTAAACGGCTCCAACACTTCCATTGACAAATCCTCGTCCAATTGTAAAATACCTTTTTCTAATGATGCTGACACATCAACTTCGTTACTGTTGCTATCAATAAGTTTCTGTAGAAAACTATTGAAGCTCTTGTCATATATTTCCTTCAGATCTTGTACAATTTCAGCCTAAAAATTTTTACTAATGTAATACACATTTATAGGACAGTATTTTGTTTCATATTAATTGATGAGAACACTCACTCGGTCATTAAATGTTTCCACAATAAGTGCTTTTGGTTCCTGTTTCATATAATTTCTTAATGTCTCAATAGGCATAAGGGCGGCTACCAGATACTTAAATAGACGCTTAGATAAAACTTGTGCACATGCAGGCCCTCCGTGACCATCGAAAACACCAACTAGTAAACCTGGAAAATATTATTATAATATTTAATATTTAACTTTCATATTTTTTTCTTTCATAAGTTCTTTATTTACAAAACAATTAGATAAAATAACTTTAAAATGCAATTTTAAAAATGAATTCACATTACTCTTCAAAATATTGATGTGTTATAGTACAAACATTTTGCAGAAAAATATGTTTTGAACAGTCAGGAACAATTGAACATTGAATCAGGAATTATACAATACCTGGTATCATTTTTGAGTAACCCTCATTTCTCGTGTCTTCAATGGGATTATTAGATGGCAATTGATTTGAATCATAAGATTTAACGGAGCCGTAACTAAAGTCTTTTGTGAATTCATTCTTACGAAGAATAACTGAAACCTGAGAATATATAACAATTATTTAATAATTGTATTAACTCTTTTAAATAATTTTGATTACTTTGAGAACACAATACAACCTTTTTCAATTTGGTATGAAATTTTAAACCAAGTTTTTTTTCATTATAGTTGTTTTAGAGACATATAATATGTAAGGCTCATTTTTAATATTATAAGACTACCTGTTGTCATGGGTTATAATATTTTCATCAATTACATACAAATTATATCTGTTTATCTAGATAAATATTTTTTGTTTGTAATCACAATAGTTTAATAAAACAGACTCATTTAATGAAAGATGGTTTTGCTTCGATCATGGTGAATAATGTTGAAAATGTTTTCAAAAAAGCCTAATATCTTTGCCTTGCATATTTTAGGAAATAAAAAATTATCTAGAAACCCTTTTTGAACCATTAGAGATTGATACAAATAAGTAATATTGAATTGTCTTTGCGTTATATTAAAATAACCATTTCTGGTCTCTGAAAGTGCTGTATTAATTTTGATAGTATTTTCATACCACGGCTGATGTAAATGGGTTATTTTAAATGGAAAATAGTTACTTTGAATAGGAATAAGGAATTTGTTAACACAAAATTCATGAATGATTATATTTGTACAAGATTTATATGCAACACTTAGATCTTATCCAAAAAATATTATTCTTGGAATTAAAAAAACACTCAATTTCCATATTGTACTATAAAAAAAAAAACAGAAAATGTATTACTGAGTCAAATTTTAACTGCAAATTGATTACCCGAATCATATTGAACCATTTTTTATGTATCTCGGTCAACACCAGTTGGTACTAAAAATGTAATTTGTGTAATATTTCTGGTTCTAAAATAAGTATTACTCTTTACTAGAGAACCAGGTACCAGAAACGACACAACAAAGCTTATTTAATAACTACAAGCTAATGATGATATAATAGCCAATAGGCACAAGGATTAAGTCAAACAGAAGAAGTACACTCTAATTCATCCCAAATAAAAACCTCGACCTATACCCATGTAACTAAACATATAATAGTAAAAAAATCTTGCAGTCTGAAACTGGTATTATCATATGAATAACAAAAAAAATAATTCACGTACCTCTTGTGGTGACAAAAGGACGTCCTCTTTGTGTGATTGATTATTTGCATGAGAAATGTGAATAGACGACTTCAAAGGAATACAGCTTATTTGATAACAGTTACTCAAAACATAACCCTTATGCCATATGTTAGACAGTTTTTGCGTCAAGCTTCGATCGACTTTGAGACATGTATTAATTAATAAATTTGCACTGGAGTAATTCATATTTAAAACAATATTTCACCTGGCATGTTATGCAATCACTGACATTTACAATTTTAGCAATTAAATGTAATTTTATTTGTAACTTTAAGATTCATATTCAAGAATAAGAAATATTTCAATTTAGTACAGAGATTTGGCTTTCTAAAAATTACATCCGTATTAAATATAAGAAGACAAATCAATTTAATAGATTGCTCATATGAGTTTAAATTTCAAATTGAAGGGAATTTTTATACAGCCTTGTTGCAGCTGATATTATGTATGTTATCAATTACAGTATGACAATCTAAAAATATGGTTTTCTATATACTTGTAATACTGTTGTAAAATTTAGTAGCCGGGACTATGCATTTTTCAGTAACATTCAATAAAATAATTATTGTCTTTATAAAAATAGAATATGCCACCTATAATATGAAATGTTCTTTAATTTTATGTCATACATTGTTAACACATATTTAATTTAAATATTAAAAAAATTTAAAAATTCTTTTCTAACGTTTTAATTACCACGTAAATATAAATTTTGTCATGAACTTCTTTGTAAAATAAGTGTGGAGGTACCATTTTCATGCCCTTTTATTTTCATAAGATTACGTTGGCAGCACTGAAAGTGCCTACAAAAAAGAAAGAAAACGCATGCGCAATGCTTACACAGTCAAATTCGTCATTCATCGTTAGCTTCGGCCGACATAATTGTCTTTAACTTGATTTTCTGATTTTGCAGAAGTATTGCAATATTTAATTAAAGATGCCTAACCAAGTGTTAATTATAGAGCCGCAAAATGAACTGAAGTTTAAAAGTGAGTATTTTTCTCTCTTTCGCTATGACACTGCAATAGCCGCATTACAACTTGGCCGTGTAGGTCGTGTTAGCTGCTGACAAATGGAGTTTCTATTTCCAGATATCGGCATTTTGTAAGGGTGCGGTTGTGCATTATTTAGTAATATTACATATGTTAAAACAGCCAGTTACCTTTTGTAACAATATTAGGCTTCTTAACCATCTAATTGCACAAATTTAGAAATGAAATACCTACCCCTTACGAAATGTAAGAGCCCTTAGGTAAAGGACGTTAAATTTTTGCTTCTGCGATATTTTGTGTACATTATTACCAGTTGATACTTGCAATAGTACAGTCCATAACGTTGGGTAGTTTTCCATTCTGCAATAAAATTATACTTGTCTAGCTGAAAAATCAAATGTTCTTAATATTTTTTCTATTCTATCGCTAATATCGTCAACCTAGTTCTTCTTTCATGAGATAAACATTGGTTTTTGAATACAATAAAACCTTCAACTAGATTAAAATATTGATATTACTTCTAAATGTCAAATTGTGTTTGATGTAGGCTGACCAGGCTTATTGCCCCATATGTCAAACTTGTAATTGTGATATTTTTTAAATTTGAATAGAACAATCATTATAAAACAACCAAATATATAATAAGGAAAATATTGTTAAACCTGTTTTTGTTTTTTTGCATAAGTCAAAAGAATTTTTAAAGCTAATTGAATAGGTTGGTGAATTTGTGTTATAAGAAGTAACAAAGTTACCAAGAGTTAAAGGATAAACATTCAAGCATTTCAACACTATAAATGCTATGTAAGCAAATACTAAATTTATAGATAGGTTTTTATTCCTGTAAACAGTATACAATTTTGATGAACATATATACAATGTTGAATGAATATCAATACATTACAAAAAAAAGATATAGTTAATATGTTTATTGTAATCATGTTGTATATTATTGCAAAGTCATATGTGGAATGTTCTATCTCTATTGGTAAAAAGAGATTCGAGGACTTCAAAAACAAATTGTAACTATAAAAAGAAAAAGCAATGAGTAATGTTATTGGTAGCTCATGAAAGTTTTCATTGTATACTATTATGATGTATCGATTTGACATTTGGTAAGACATTTCAAAAATAAAATTATAATTAAATGTGTGTTTAGTGTTGCTACATATTAATATACCAATTAAAACTGCTAATGGATTGGTTTGAATAACACTTTTGTTTTTTAATTTTGTTTTATGGCAATATCTATATATAAATGATTTAAAAACATTGTTATAATCTGAAATATGTTGTTTTACTGTCATTAGTTGTATGAATGTATCTTTGAGTTGATCAGTTAATCTCTTTAAACTAAAAAAGACTGATTTTTTAAAAATAAAACAAATAATTATTATTTTTAACATTAAATTTATCAATTCAGGAAATGAAAAAATGTTCTGAAATGTAACTGATATCATTAAATGTATATTCTATAAGTGTTTATTTTTAATATTTTATTTTGTTTTGGTATAAGAATATATACTTTATATTCAACTTAAATAAGTCTATTTATTTGATTGATTTTATTAGATCATACAAAACCTTCCAGAACAAGTTATAGCCAGACAATTAATAACAGGATGGCATTTCAAATAAGAGATAAATAGTTATGACAAATGCATTGCTAAAAAAACATATGTTAAATGTTTGACATGTTTAATCTATAAAATTATTTGTATTGTAGTTCCATTGTAGATTACTTTTTCATTACTAATAGAAAATATAAAAAAATAAATAGTCTTAATTTATAAGATTTTTTTATTAGTTGATAATATTCAAGATTATTCATAATATATCATATTTTCGTTTTAAATAAACAATTCGATATTGATACAACAAAATTTCATAAATTACAAACAGCATTACTATCGTGTTGGGTTTACACATTGTATATAATATAAAAAAATAATTAATGCTTTTGTGAAATGATAAAATCAGTTCTATGTAAGTGTTAGGATAGCAGACACATCAAATTAGGTTTTCATTTTGTTTTGTACTATCAAACTATTGGTAAACATGTGGTTTGAAAAACATTGTCTCCTTTTCTATTTTATTTTATTTTTATTATAGTCTACTTATTGAAAATTTTTGTTTATTCTAGTTGATTATTCAGGCTTCTTTGACATGGGATGCACTACTTATATGAAACTGACGAATCCAACGGATCATACCGTGTTGTTTAAAATTAAGACAACAGCACCAAAGAAGTATTGTGTGAGACCCAATTCTGGATTCTTGGATCCAAAATCTAAAGTTGACATAGCTAGTGAGTAACTCTTTTAATATTTAAATGGGATAAATATTATATTTGATATACACATATGTAATCTAATGTTATATTTCTCAGTTACCCCTCAACCTGTAAATGTTGAGTCCAATGAGAAAAATAAACACAAGTTTATGGTGCAAAGTGTTATTGCTCCAGAGGGGAAAATTAACATAGATCAAGTGGTATGTCATCTGACGATAATATTTGAATGAGAAATGTTTAGATATTTTAATAACGATTTATAATTTTACAGTGGAAGGAAATAAATCCTAAACAACTCATGGATTATAAATTAAAGTGTGTCTTTGAAACGCCACAAGTAAAAAGCGCTAATGTGAGTATAAGTGAACATTGAGACGTAATTGATCTTATATCTATACTATTCTATATAATTGTATGTTATTGTACATTTAATATCAAGGATTCCGGTGACAACGCAGCGGCGAACGAAGTCACCAAGAAGAGGGTGGCCGTGGCTGACGAGTCAAAACCAGCTGTCAAGGTAATTATTATATACCAATCATATATCATATATACACATATATTATATAGGAAGAATTATTATATAAAATTCTAGAATTTACGAGCTTTTTCTTTCTTTAGTTGCTCGTTTGTAATATAAACATTTTATCATCATGTCATATCATAAATAATTGCATTTTATTAAATAATAATTATAATAAACCGAATTTACGATGTATACGTAATTCGGGTAACCATAGCTTCGAGTTTTAAGTTTGTTTGGTACGTAAAGTATGGTGTTTATAAACATCTGTATTTAAAGTAAGTCGAAGCTTGGCATGTTGATATATTTCAGGACTCCGATGGTGTCCAGAGCGAGTCGAACAGACGGGATCCGGATACAGCGGTGAACCAATCGACGGTACAAATTATATATACATATATGTATATAAACATATATACTTATATGTATATAATGAATTATACATACTGTTCTCACCATTAAACTATCGTCCACAATATCATCACGCGCCATCAATGAAAATAAATAATAATTCTTCTTATCAAAAGCGTTTGAGACAAAATATATGAAATAATTTACTGTTTAATATCTACGTTAGGTTAAATATAACAGGGAAATGTATGGTTGTTTATACAAAATCCATAAATCCAAGTAGCGTCATGGTATAATATGTGTACCTATAGTGTGTAGATGTTTGCCTGACCGTGCATGTTTTTGTTTTTTATTTGCATCTCTATTATTGTATCTTGTAGCTATGTTCTGTCTGTTATCTCCTTATTTTTTTTATTTATATTTCCAGGATGTTTTCCAAAAATCTGAAAATCTCGAAAGCGATTTGCAAAAGGCGACGAATGAGGTCATTCATTTGAGGGAGGAGGAAAGTATTTTAAGACACGAAAATCTCCGATTAAAAGTGAGTTTATTTTTTTCCGGGAAATTTTTTTGTTCGTATTTTTTGTTTATTTATTTTTTTGTTATTATTATTTTCTTTATTTCGTTCGACATCTTTTAAAACGGAGGTTTGGTCGACTTTTGCCACTTGCTTACATAGGACGTAAGTTGAGGTATACATTGATATTGATAGAGCAATTCGATTGTAAATATATGTACCAATGTTCTGCGATGACAACCAGCATGATGTTTAGATATAAGCTTATGTGTTTATCTGTGAACTTATCTTTACTTTAGGGCTACTTCTGACATTGCATGTACCCGAGACCCAATATGCCCAAGTTGATATTTAATGTTTCAAATGTGCCCTCTGCATGAGTACTTAAATCTTCAACAATGACGAAAATAAAATATATACAAACAAAAAAATGGAAATAAATAAAACGGAAATATTATTTAACTCTCCGAATAACATCAAGTGTTCTCAAACGGATGGCTCCGATGTAAACAAACGTGATTCGAAACAATGAAAAATATTAAACTATATCGATATCGATAAACTGTTAGTGCGGCTTTACGTGATACATCACTAGTTATTTACTGAAACACCAATTGAATATTCGCTAATATAGTATAATATATATTATTGTGAAGTACAAGCCATCACGGCCACTATATTACGTCAGGAAGATACCACTCATGAACCACGAACTTCCCCTTCCGACGGTTAATTTATATAAACCAACGTATAAAAATGCTTTATAATATATATCTATAAAAAATCGGACGGATTTACATTGTTTACATAGATATAGATAATCTAGATGGATTAGGTGCGTGTAGATACAAGCTAGATGGCTTAACTGTAGATGTAATATGTAGGCACCACCAACTGAACGTGTAACAACTAAAATAAATCACGTCATAAAATGCAATTTATGACTTGTACTTGCTGAGAAAAATGTATAAAGATAATACATATTGCTATATAAGTGTTGGATATTCACAAACATTTCTAGCAAAATACCTTTTTTAGTATTCACACGCCGAACACAATCTTGTATTCCGGTTGCATTTTTTAAAATATATTTTTTAACTCGTTTTTAGTGATAATTTTACATATATATCTTTTTCTATTGAGCTACATAGCGAATTTAGCTGGCGTAACATATAACTACATTGTGATGTTGGGTTCGATTCCCGATTTCGCATATAACATTTAATACATTAAGAAGTATATAATTTTCTTTACTGATTTCAAATGTTCCATATCAAATAATTGTGTATTTTAATATTGTTTTGTTAAAATAATGTTTGAGCTTTGTTTATTTTTTCTTAGATGCTATGCGTATGTTGTATTTTATAAGTATGTTGCCAAGCGATTGTTCTATAACAGTGACAATAAAATCTACTAGTGTTTTAACAGAAGTAGTACAATCATATCAAAAAAACATTTCAATTTAACATTCACCAAGCTTATATGTATTTTTATGTTCATATATATTAACATAGTAAATGATACATACTACACACGGACGTATACATAAAGACAATTATATATTTGATTTGATATATGTGATGTTTTAAATACAATGTATTTGCAACGGAACGATAGGTCGGTGTGTGACGTAATTCAGAATTGACTGCACTATGACCGGAGCGTGATTGTCTCGGCGTGTGATAGCTACAAAAGGGCATTAAATTAAAACACCTTTCATACAACTAAACGTGATTTATTTATATGTTTTTCATACATATAATTTATGAAAAATAACATATAATTGTTACGCTAATTAGTTATATTTCCATATTAATAAACACTGTACAGCCAACGTAATATAAAATGAATTGTAATGTGCTACGACGTGTTTGAAATTTAAATTTTTTATAATTATTCCATTCGGTGGTACCACCAGACTTGATTGTTTTATTGATTGAATGTAGCGGTGAATACGATCAATAAAAGAAATGTACAGACTGTTGTAACGTGTAATTGCAAAATATGTAGTAGTAAAATTTTATAAAGAGCTATTATATACGGTTTCGTATAACGAGAAAGACTTCAATATTATATTTTATATATAGTCATATACAGAAATGCCTATAAAATGTTACTGGAATCAATCAAGTCATTGACCTTAATACTTAATCGAATAATTTAATATAGTCAAAAGTTATATTGTCTGAATGTTATTTTAACATCGACATGCAAACGTCACGGTCTACCGGCATGTATGTTGTTTCATAAGTTTCATCCTAGTTTCGCTTTAACAACATTAATATGACACTGGAAATTATTAACTGGGTCGAACTCCGTCTAGCTATGTACGACACACCATAGATGCTATTAAATAATTTAATAGGACAAAATATTTTAACGAATTACAATTATGTATACCCGACACGTGACGAGCTCAACATAAACTATCATTTAAATATGTAGATCTAATTTATTAAAGGAAATAGAAAATCATAAAAAATAATTAATATTTAATACCAAATCTATTAAAAAAATTAACTACCTCTTATATATAGCGTAATATGTATTTTTGCTAGTTTATGAAAAATAAATTTTGATTAAAAAATAATAATTTTCGGTTGTTATCGAACATGCAGAGTTATGTTGCGTGTATCGCGTGGACAATGAAAACATGATTACTTATGCTTGCTTTCGATCAATATAAATCAGAACATACCAATATATTATGCTGTACCGATTTTGGTTATGTTCACTAAAATGGTAATACTAGGGATGATTTTTGTTTACTGGCAATATTTGATCTTAATGCACCTTTGATTTACCACGTGGAAAATGTTTGGGAAGTATCAGTTTTTTTATGAATATATAATGTTTGTTATGAATTCAGTTTATTCATAATTTAAATTTTTATTATAAAGAAAAAATACTTTGAATATAAGATTCACACTCGAAAGAAACTATGACGTATTTTATAGATCTAAAACTGTACGTCGTATGTTGTAAAAAATATAAAACATTATAATTAAGATGTTTAATTTTATTAACAGTGTAATCTTTCTAAATATTCTCAAATGAAGGAAACGAATAACGTTTTAATGATCCGATGTAATGTGTAATTTTCAGGAGGAATTGTTGCGTTTGCACCAGGGCGGCGGTGGTGAAGGCCGTCCGGCTCGCGGGCATTCGTACGGCCCGGAGAAGACGGAACACGCGGCGCTAATGGCATGGGTTGCAACCGCCATAGCCATGGCATTACTTGGCATCATCATCGGCAAGTTCATCATGTGAACACCACTGTATCCTCACACAAGGCAGCTTATAGTTCTCATACTAGCGAGTGACATGTAGGACTGGTTTAAATGACCCACAAACCCACAGACAAACCAACCCCCAAACCATTGAACCCCCAACCCCCAGTCTGCTTGTTTGACCCACGGATTGTTTTGTATCTCGTTTGTATTCTACCGACTTGTTATCTGCCTATGTATCTAGTTGGATTGTTTCAGCATTCTCTGTTTTATTTTAAGATTATTTGATTTGTTTGATTTGATAATAATTATTATTATTATTTTGATACTTTAAATTTATATGTAACGTATATATGGTGGTTTGCGAAATTTTGCAAGTGACGATTTCACACTTTAATATTTATATATAAATATATATTATATAATGTAAACGTGTTTGTAATCTTATATTTGTGAAATAATATATCATCGCATAATACATGTGGTAGTTTGCAAAATTTTGCAAAATGTCATAGTATAGACGAAAAGATGTATTTATGTATTACGAAACTGATAACATCTTTATATGTAAAGTTGTAAATTTTTCATATAATTAAGATTCCATATGTAAACTTGTAAACAAATTGTTTTTATAATAGTGTCATGCTAATGTCGCAATCGTTTGAGATCATATTAGAGGGCTGTGTGGGAATAACATATGTTTGCGCTTGCTATATAGTACACTTGTGTTACGATAGATAAATTAAATTGAGTCGTGTAGAATTCAAATGATAACTGAATTAACAATATAACAACAGTATATTTTACGATTTGTTTTAACGGGATAATTATCCTCCTGACGAATAAAGTATTTGTGAGTATTATTGTGTCAAGTCGGTCATTGAAAGTTTTGATGTTTAAGTGATGTTTATACTGATAATTTCTTAAACGAGTGCGACGTGTTTTGCCCTCAAGCCTCTCAGAGAACCGGGTTTTTATATTTAACATACTCTATCTTATATGGATAAAATTAAATATAAAATATGTTTAGAAAATTATTATTTATTCCAAAAAGTAGTATTTAATTTTTATATATGTATATACGTGTATGTATATATATATTAACAATTGTAATTATATTTTATATCAATGTTCAAACGTAACATATGTAGATTGTCAGCTGTGAATGCGAATTCCATCTAAAAAGTTCATCCAAATGACAATTCAACCTTAGATTACACGACCCGGTCTCTGGAGGTCGAATGAAAATATTGTAATAATTTTAAACTATATAAAACTTTAACAACTATAATTTATAAAGAAAATTCTATAGGAATGTCATGATAACTGTTAAAAATGAAATCTACCGGCTAAATTTAATATGACAACTTTGTTAAGGCATAATATTTATAATAAACGTTAATGTTGGTGTTGAAGCGCTCGGTTCGTTGAAGCTTTGCGATTGGTACATCAATTTATCAAATATAAATTAAATAAAATTATTATGTTTTTGAATCTTCATCTTTCGTCTCCGCAACCTTTTGTTTTGTTTCTCTATTTTATTTTTTCTACTCTATATTAACATCACGTCTAACTTACGAACCGATCGTCATGCGATCTTGTGTAATATGTAACAATGTACCAGAATTGATATATAATATGAACACACAAAGTTTTATAGAAAAAAATTAATGTAAATGGAATTTTACACAAACAAAGGCTCGTCCGAATTGAATTCAGTTCTCAAACCGAGTACAATAAAATATAAAGTACAATAAACATTTTGGACACCCCGTATATATTTTTTGTTATTATTTTTTTGTCATAATAACACTGAATAATATAAGGTTAAAGAAAAACTGACACGATAATGTTTAAGTAAACGTTTTCTAGTTACCATAGAAAAAACATCACGGCTTGACATGTCTATTATTTGACGTTAATAGTGAAAAGAAAAACAATGTTCATCACATAATTGATAATTATTAAGGATCATATGTATTTTGTAAGACGTGAGTTAAGCTTTGTATTGTGAATTTGATTAGTCACATACTAGGAGCCATTAGTAATTATCGCGTTATTTTCATGACGACTTTTGAGAAAATTTATAGATGGCTAGTAAAAATTATTATTGGATTATAACTGTAATTCGTATTTGTGAATTCTGGGTTATGTGTTACACACTAGTATTTCTTTATTTTATTTAAAATTTTCTTCTTCCGAATCGTTCGATAACAACGCATGAATGTTACGTTCTTTTTGTGAGACTTTCTAACTATATGACTAGTAAATGAAATTGTTTCAGTCAAGCTTCTTTATTGGTGAGAATTTTCCATATATAGTTATTAAACGAAATATATATTATTTTATTTGCACTGCCACCAATACTATATTTATATGTATTCATACTATAATTCTATTTTAGTTCAATGAAATACTTATTGTATTTTACTCGTTTTAGATAATTTACACGTCGAGTTGATTTGATTGAATTACTTATACATTATGCTTAGTCCAAGTTCGGATAGTCACTACATACGAAGAGTTTCCTGTTTCTCATTCTAAAATCTACGTTAATAATGTAATGATGATTCGAACATGGAGTAAGCATAAATGCATTTTACGATTCCACCTTTTATCTTTACCGTACTATGAAATGATTGCGTCGTAAAGTTTATTGGAAAGGATTTTTATATACTCCAATGGAACTATTATTTATGTTAATTGTTTATAATTTATAATTATTCAAACAGATAGCTTGTGCTTTATTTTCTTCACCCACTCTGATATCAATGGATCTGACTTATAATATTTTCACTCAAATTCATTATATAGTTTTCCTTTCAGTATATCCCTACCGATGGCCACATTTACCATGTAATGCATGACAGGTTTCGTGGCATTGCCAATGACAGTTATTTAATTTCGCTGTATATTTTTTAAATATAAAATAGTTATAAATAAAAATAGCAGCCAGTGAGAAAATTGCTTTTAAAATACATATATTGTAGTACTATAAGCGCCTCTTGTTGTGGTATTAACATTATTTTATTTGGTGGTGTCGAACGATCTATCATACTGGAAATTTGTGTTTGATAAATACCATTTCTTTGTTGTTATATTAATCTTTTATGCTATATTGTATCGTTTTTCGAAATAAATTACTTAATTTATTTGGAATTTGTCAGTGCTTAATAAGTATAACACCTACACCTTGAAATGTTATTTGTGTATGGAAGAATAAAGAAATTTCCAAATGTTCTAAATACATATATATAAAATGATTTATAATCTATTCAAATACAGTCTTCATATTTTGTGATGGCGAATCTTATCGAATTGTACGGTGATGTATAGTGTAAGATTTTTTATTTTAAAGGTTTTAATGTAGAGAGCTGAATTAGTGAATCAAGATTTTGATTTTTCAATCACAGCTTTATTCCTCTTTGATATACTATTTCTTCGTTTTTTTTTTCACAATAAAGTACAAGTATTTAAATAATATTTAAAATTCATTTTTTATTATTAATTTTTTTTATTTTGATGATAGTACCTGACAGGAGTTACAACTTTACCCAATAACAAATAACGAGGGATGTTTGCTATTAATTAGCGAAACTAAAATTTATTTTCCTAACAATCAAATAGAGCTTCAATTAATATATATTTTAGTCAACTTATGCAGCCCCACTAGCCTTTACCCGTTGACCCACTGGCCTTTACCCGCTGCCCCACTGGCCGTTATCCGCTGCCCCACTGGCCGTTACCCGCTGCCAAACTGGCCGTTACTCGCTGCCCCACTGGCCGTTACCCGCTGCCCCACTGGCCCTTACCCGCTGCCCCACTGGCCTTTATCCGCTGCCCCACTGGCCTTTACCCGATGCCCCACTGGCCTTTACCCGCTGCCCCACTGGCTCTTACCCGTTGATCCACTGGCCGTTACCCACTGCCCCACTGGCCGATACCCGCTGCCCCACTGGCTCTTACCCGTTGATCCACTGGCCGTTACCCACTGCCCCACTGGCCGATACCCGCTGCCCCACTGGCCGTTACCCGCTGCCCCACTGGCCGTTACCCGCTGCCCCACTGGCCGTTACCCCCTGCCATACTGGCCGTTACCCGCTGCCCCACTGACCGTTACCCGCTGCCCCACTGGCCGTTACCCGCTGCCCCACTGGCCGTTACCCGCTGCCAAACTGGCCGTTACCCGCTGCCAAACTGGCCGTTACCCTCTGCCCCACTGGCCGTTACCCGCTGCCCCACTGGCCGTTACCCGCTGCCCCACTGGCCGTTACCCGCTGCCCCACTGGCCGTTACCCGCTGCCCCACTGGCCGTTACCCGCTGCCCCACTGGCCGTTACCCGCTGCCCCACTGGCCTTTACCCGATGCCCCACTGGCCTTTACCCGCTGCCCCCCTGGCTCTTACCCGTTGATCCACTGGCCGTTACCCACTGCCCCCCTGGCCGTTACCCGCTGCCCCACTGGCCTTTACCCGCTGCCCCACTGGCTCTTACCCGTTGATCCACTGGCCGATACCCACTGCCCCACTGGCCGATACCCACTGCCCCACTGGCCGTTACCCGCTGCCCCACTGGCCGTTACCCGCTGCCCCACTGGCCTTTACCCGCTGGCCCACTGGCTCTTACCCGTTGATCCACTGGCCGTTAGCCGGTGCCTCATTGGCCTTTTACTCTTTTTGTAAATGATTTTATAAATAGTTAATGTATTACTATATTTCGTGACATTTTAAATCTTTTTTTCTTTGGGCATTAAAAATTTTAAGTGCTATATTTAAATAAAATGTATATTTGGAGAACAGGCAAGACAACCCTGGACCATATATATTGGTTTCATTTTAATTTGATACTTCTTTCAGTTGTTCTGGTAATTTTTTTATTGTAGAATAGCTTTGTAACTATTTACATTATATTCTAAAATAAGTATTGACATCTAAATGCTATAAGTTAATAAACGGGCTGATAAGTAAAAAACGGTTTTAATGATTAAATGCATTGCTATATTATAAATATTTAAAATAAAATTACTCATTTAATATTTAAACAATTGTAACTAACAATTTATATTTGCATTTTATGAAACCGCAAAGACAGTATTTTAATACCAGTATACATAAATTAATATTACATTTTTTAATATAATATTCTGACTTACAGTAATACAACAACAAATATTACAGGACAGAATTGAATTGATTAAAAATATAGTTTATTTAAATGAAGACAAAATAACATTTACAGTATGTAAAAGGGTAAAAAAATGTCCTAAGCATTTTAGATTATGCAAAATTAAGTTGATGCATGCATGTTCTTTCAAACTTTCGTTTTCATATTTTTTATGAACTCAAAACGATGATATCTATATACAGAAAAAATAAATGTCAATCATTAATTAAAATTACAAATAATTAATATATTTCGTGAATTTGTATGTTGGTGGTATCTTTTTATTCCACTTTCAATATACTGCCCTTAAAGTAACCGAATAATTTTACTTACTTAAAATAATCATAATAAAAAAAATCTATTATGAAAATAATTATGGTTAATGCCTTACAAACTATGGCCGATGCAAACCTGAAGTGAAAAATCGAATACTGAGAGCATCATTGAGATCATGTTTCAAAAGGATTATTATAAAATGAGCATTCAATAAATATAAAACACGAAAAAAACTTATATAGTAAAAAGACAACGGTTCAAATAAAATAAACTTATTCCAATAAAGTCATCTAACACAATCATTTATTTATGTACATTCTAAGGGTCACAATCCCTAAATACTGCGGGTTTACTTAAAAATTAAATTGTAACACTTTCTATAATACGATTATATCATCTATTCACAATATTGTGGACGCTGCTACAATTAATGTCAGCATAAATTGGGTAAGCTATCGGGTCGCTAATTACAGTAAATCATTCTATACTATGTATTCTAAGTCATGACTTATTAAGGAAATACCAGAGACTAGTAGACATCGAGACAATAGTTCACATTAAATGACAAATAAAAAATAATACTTAAGTACTCAATAATCATGAACATTCTTTCAAATGCAAGTTATAGCATGACGCCTATCAAAAACAATATTATATTAATTACAAGCACTCCATTTATCCAGCACCTTTATAAGGGGTTGTTTAATTATTTTTTCATAATGTGTTTAAGTACTGTCACTAAGATGTTCTCTTTCATTACGAAGTCGAATTTCAATATTCTTATATTCATCTTAACGTATTTCATTCTTTATAATATTACATACATTTTATTTAATGCACATATATTTTCAACGTAAGTACCAATAAAAATTATAACAATTAGGTCTAACGTAAAAATATGTCAAGAATCAAATGTCATTAATAAGCTTAATATATATATACTATATTTATAAACTGAAAATGCTATAATATCACTTTTAACAATTATTTACATATAAAATGTAACCGTAAATTAAAATTTAAAAAAAAATCCGTCAAGGAAAAAATATGATTCCATTAATGGGAGAAGTTGAAAATGCAGAAAAGGCATTTAATACTCCATCCACTGAGAAATTAAATTTGAGGTACAAATGTTACTGTTACAATAGTTAAGTTTGTGCCAAAAGAAAATACTAAAACTACTTCGAGACTACAAACAGCTATTTGTTTTTTTTATTCCGTCAAACAATTAATGTATTTTTACATTTCCATATACAGCGAATTTCTGTATACTACATAATATATGTATATTGTATTCGATTGAATAACATTGCAAGAATATAATCTTCAAAAATAAAGCAATGCCTAATTTAGTCTAAGATTGGGCCTCTTTCACACATACCAATTGAGTTACTGTACAAAAGTTGTACATTATAAATATTTTTACGTTTGCGAAATCGACGTAAATACCAACAGTTTGGAAGTATTTCGTTCATAAAATATCAGCGGGGTTTAAGAACATTGCAAGCTATATATACATATAACAGTAAATGACTTTAATACCAATATTTGTTATAGATCAGTTTGAAAGATCAATAAATAACAAGCGAGATATAATTAGTCATTCAATGTTATCGATAGTGTGAAACAGGCCTTATAGTGTAAGAATATACTGCTCTATTAAAAATATTTAGCTTCAAGCTAATAATCTATATCTATATCTGTAGTTTTATCGCCAAACGTTGGTTCATCTTTCAAAAACGTACCAGAGCGTTCCATCAAGGGTATTTCAGTACGTTGCGGCTCATCACTTCTGTTCGGATTTTTGACCGGTTTGTTATGTTTGGATTTCGTCGGCTGCGTGTGGATCTCTTTAGATATCTTTGGTACCATTTTAGCTGAGCTTGATTTGGTGGCATTCATGAGGGAACCGGATAGTTTTCTGTCGTGAGTCTTGCGTTTGTCCTTAGTCGTCGTCTGTACTACGCTCGCTGAGTTCGGCCGCGACGCTTTCGTTGGGCTTGTACGTTTGTTCACAGCAGACGAGTTCTGGTTCAGAAACACGGGTATCTTCGTTCTGACGGCCGAATTCAGCAATGAGGACGGCGACACGCCTTGACATTTAGCCGATATGATAGCTGTAAATAAACAAATTTCTATTATATAATTGTGACATTTCAAGCGATAAAAGTTTTCAAGAGCTATATGAAGAAATGAATAATATACATCCTTACACAATATACATCATTACTGAGAGATTAAACTAATTAAATACTCACATTCAACAGAGCCTTGTTTAGTGTGCTTGGTTTTGGTGTACGTAGCGTATTTGTTGCTGTTTTGTGATTCGCTGAGTGAATCCGTGGAGGGTTCCGCAGTCCTTGGTCTCGAGGACGTCGCAAGACTATCTTGTGACATGTGGGTTCTGTCGTTCGCTTGTACCCGCGACCGCATGTTGCGAGCTTGGATCGGGCTTGAATTCCTTGAAGACTCGCTAGAAGACACTATCTTATTGACCAGCTTCTTCGGTGGTAATTTCTTCTCGGTATCTTTAACACGCGGTTGCAAGTATCTCGGTTTTGTATTCTCGAATGGATGGACTCGTGTTATCGCTGGTTTGGTCACTGTTCTCTCTTGAGACGTTGTTATTGTCTTAGATTGATTGAACTTCGCTCGCTCTTCTTGGGCTTTCGTTGTCCTGACTTTGGGGACTGTTGTTTTGTTTTGTTTCTTCAAATCTCGTAGCTCACTGTTGCTTTTTATGTTATCCTTTGATCCCATCATCGTGATCGGCTTCGGTTTGTAAGGTACGAAAGAATTACGTACTTTCTCCATATCTAAACTCCGAGTTGCCGAAGAACTGATAGTTTTAGTAGGTTTGCTGTGGTAGGTACTCTTACATTTTCTGTCCTGTAGCGGAGATGTAGTTAGCGGTATGGCTTGAGGTCCGTACATAATACAGCCGAGTTCTCGCAGTCGTTTACGTAAATCTGATGGAAGATCTTTAAAAGCTTGGGTGCCCACGACCCTGGGTGCTGCTCGAACAAGGGCTACTTCACACTGAAGCCTCCAACTGCTCGCGTGGATGTACAGAAGATTGGTGGTTTCAGGGACCTTCATTTGGTTTCCATTAGATATCAGATCCGGCTTGGCGAGGTGCTGGTTTCTGATTTGTTTCACGAGATTCGATAGGTAAGCGTAGGCGCGACAAGTTTCATCAGGAGGGGCCCATTCAATGGCGGCTGCGAGACAATCGTCCAGCGCTTGCTTGGCTGTTTGAGGAGCCTCTGGAGCAACAGATATCAGTTCTAACACAGCCGGTAGTCTTGGCGCAGCGAAATGTGCGGCCGCGTTCACTAGACGCCTGCACATACGGGCAACACTCTCTGCCCACCTACTATTTTGAAGAGATGCCACTGAAATTCAAATTAATGTCAGATTATTAAATTGCATTATATATTTTCATTTGAGGATATTATTCATTCTTTTTATTGAATATTAAAATAAGATTTTATCTTCCTCTGATATCTAAAACTAAAACTGATACCTACATAAAAATAAAACCAGAAATCAATAATTAAATATAAATTATCATATATTTGTTTTGCAAAAAATATAAATAATTTTAATTCGTTCCTATGTTTAATTGGTTATTTTACTTACCCGTAGTGCCACATCCATAGACGGTGTCAATAAAATTTTCTAATGACAGATTAACAACATGTTCTTGGTAACATTTATCAAGGAGTTCTTTTGGTAAAGTGGCAAAAGCTTTGGTTGGCCACACCTTCGAGAAGTATTTAGTGATCCATCTGAGACATTTCCGGTATAAATCGTCGAGGCCATAAACCGAAGACAAGGGAAAGCATTCCAATACACCGGCTGTGCAAACTTGACAAGGCTGGAAAAGAATATTTCTTGAAGTATACATCCATCATTAAATAAACGACCAAAAATACTTATAAATACCCTGTGGAAGTGATGACAATATTTTGACTTCAATGTGAACATAATAGCTTCTTTGAGACCTTCCAATCCGAGCATGTCAGCTATAGTGGCTAGTTCAACGATACTTATAGAATCGGGTATAGTAGACAAACCGGAGTATATATGGCACAGAGCGAAATGTACCACGTTAAATGAAAATCTAGAATAAAATAAATGTAATTAAATATCTATTGACATTAAGGATAGAATACAATTTAATTATCTTACGGTGGTAAAACGATGACGTTTCCGGCACTTTCCACCCAACCGCCACTTAGTATACCTGCAAAGTACTGACACCTGGAAATATTATATTAGTCTTCATCTCGACAATGAAAATACAATTTGACTATAAGATGGTCCAGAATATACCTGGATGATAGAATACATTTGTGAGCTTTAATTCTCTTCCCTGATACTTCGACTATAACGTCAGGGGCTATCTCCTCTAAGAACATACGAAGTAAATCCTGTCCCAAACGAGACTGACAGTTACCTATTAAACTCGAAGTTTGACTAGTTTCTTCTGTTGTACTATTTTCTGAAAATATTATGAGGCAATAGTTTATATGCATACCAGGCTTATAAATTGTAAATTATAATCATTTATCTTACCGACTACAGAGCGACATATACTGCTTTGTACACTACTCATTTCCGATACATCGGAAACCTGTTCATCCATCTCGCCAACGCTTGACGCAACCGGTCTTGATGGAGATCTTGTTCTAGATGATAGTGATATCGGCATGCTCTTGCTGAACTCGTTTTTCAGGTGAGGAAAAAGCCTGTTCAGACTCAACGCGTTCTCAGAATGAAAGGAACTAATCACTTCACTAGACCTGGAAGATCCTCCAAGGGTTTGTTGCGACCATTTGTTGTCAGGAATCGACCTCGTCATTCTTGATTCGAAGCTATCCTTTTCGAATATATCAGATTTCTGTATTGGTTTATCCAAATCGGATAATTTAACAAACAGATCCGAGGGTTCATTGACGGGTTCCTCGTGAATAACATAAGTATTGAAGGATTTGTCTCCATTTATTCGCCTGGAATGTTTATCGTTTTTAAGATTCACCATTTCGGTAACTTCTTCGCTGTCTTTCAAACAAGGAGCCTCGGGGATAGCGATTATTTCAGATATGCTTATGTTAGGATCATTGCACAATGATTCCAATCTTTCGAATGTTGTTGTACTTATTGATGGATCAAGTGATTTGGGTGTTGCTTCCAAGCTTTTCAAATTGTTTACTGTTTTCTGATTCTTGCAAGTCTTAGCTGATGTTCTGTGATTATTGTCGTGAGACTGTTTCTGGCTATTCAAAGATGAAGATAAACGGGATGGCATTTCTTTGAGAGTAGATTTTTCTCCTAAATCTATAAACATAGAAAATATATTCTTTTTTTCAGAATTGTTATCTATGACATTCGGTTTTTCTGGTGGTAAAGGATCAGGTAAAGACGATAAATCAATATAAAATTTATGGCCTGATTTTTCACTACTATCAGAGTCAACAGAACATCGACTTTTATTAGAACTTTCGCTACTATTTGCTTTGGACTCGCTTTTTAAATTATCATAAGTTTTGTCGTTAGATTTTTTTGAATTCAAGCTGGAGTTTGATGTGTTAATACTTGATTCGGTAGCATTACAATCCGAAGCCATGTCAACTACCCATGCAGATGCACAGACAGGTTTAGCAGCCTTCGGTACAGAGTTTTCGTTACTATCTACATTTGGATAACATGCTCCAGTAACAATGGGCGTGTTTTCAATTTTCCTTCTTACTAACGGACTCTGTTGATTCAACTTTGGAGATCGAACATCTTCGATTGATGCTCCGCCTGAAACTATAGGAGACGATTCATTATACCTACTTTGTCTGAAATTTATAAGACTTTCCTTGCTTATATGTATTGTGTCGTTTTCGCTCTCCTCTGAGTCATAGTTCTTGATAGACGAAGATTTTAAAGACAGAATTGAATTGTGTGGAGTTGTACCCATGTAAACCGTACTAGTAGATAAGGACGTTGCTTTTTCAGTCTCGCAACCGGACATAGCATTAGAGTCATACGTTTCCTTATCTATCTTCGCCTCAGTGCTGCGGTCAAAAATATTCGAAATTAAAGAATCCTCAGCTATGGGAGTCATTTCAAAAATAGTGGGTGATAAATCTTTCTGGATGGAATCAGCATCTTTATTGTCTCCCTGTTCCAAAGAATCCTCGTTTTCATTACTTTCGGACCAATCACCTGGGCTATGATCAAGTTTATTCACTTTAGAACAGGGGACTGGTTGGCTAGGTGTAGGAGTATGGTCAGATGAGAGATTAGCAGATTCATTCTGGTCAGATTTCCTTAATTCTACAGACTGTTCTTCATCTGCCAGACTCGCTGCATCAATAAAGCAAGGTGTAGATTTCAAAGAAATATCAACGTTTTTGATCACCGCCAGAGAAGTTGGGTTGTTGCGTCTCAACACAACATCCTGTTTATTGTGATGACGTTCAGTATTTATAAATTTTTCACATATTTCTTTGTCTACCATTCTCGGAGGAAAAACTGATTCCCATGATCCAGTTTCAGACGAAACAGAGGATGATTCTAAAATCACAATTTCCTCGTTCTGTCTTTGTTTTTCTTCTTTCGAAGAATTAGAATGAACACAGTCTAGAGGCTTATTTTGCATATTTGCTCTATGTCCATTCCATTCGTCTGAGGTACTCGCAAAAGATGCGATGTCAGTTCGAGGAGTTGACGATTTCATTTTACAAATTTGATTCTTATCTGAAGTTGAACTGGACATGGAACCGTTTGAATTATTTGTCTCGTCAGTGATTAGATCGTGAAGAGTGCTTTCGGTTAAGGATAGATCTGTTAAGGTAACGTCTTTATGGCTGCTCAGGCTCTCGAGCATACCAGTATTTTCAAGCCCAGAATCCGAAGACGTGAATATGTTTTCCATTTTACTAATGTAATCCTCAACATGAGCTTGACGCACACACCCTGAAGTGCTTACAGCAGGGGAGCCAGCATATGCGGCGGATAAATAATCTGATGAGGAACTGGGATCATCCGTGATTAAACTATCAGGAGAGTATGAAGGGTCAAAATATTTTTCACTCAAAACTGACTCGCTAGAACTTATCTGATTCGATTTGGTATCAAATCTATTTGTATTATATATTTTTTGACAAATATAATTGTTATTTGATTTCTTATTTACTTCTCTTTCATTCCCTAATTTTTCATTTTCATGGACTAGTTTATTATATATATCACAATTAATGGAATGTTTAATGGTTTTAGGAGTGTGACTAGACACCAAAGGTAATGAAGTGGGTTTGTTAAGTTGTGTTACTTTGTTAGAATCTTTTTCTTGCCCTTTTATGATTGTATGAAAAGCAGTCGATAGCGCGTCTTGTTCAATTAGCTCCTGGTCAAGCAAATTACCGTCAATGGGTACTAGGGCGTAATATTCTCTTGTTAATTCTGTACTTGGACTAAGACAGGAAATTTGTTGTATTTTTTGTTCTGGACAGGGACTCGAATTTGGGGTTAAATACACATCAATATCTTCTATCTCTTCTTTTATTTTATTTGAATCGAATAAATTATTTTTAGCGAAATGAGTTCGTTTTAAAAAAAATAGAATTTCTTTTTCTTGATTTTGGATATCACATTCAGTATATGCATCGCTGAAAATAAATACATTCGTTTAAGTTCTAACTGTTATACCAACTCTATTTACGTATAATTCGATCGCTTTAATTACCTTATAAATGAATATATTTCATCAAAAGTGTCGCGTCCTATATTCACATGCAAAATAGCTTCAAGCTTTTTATAAAATTTATTTGTGCGTGCTTTGAGTATGCAAGTATGGGTTAGTATTTTTAGTTTGCCACAAACCACTTCGAGATCAGAATATATAGATTCATCAAATATCCTGGGAACAAGTATTGAATCAGGATAGAATATTACCTCGGTTATAAAAGTATTAAATCATATCACATGCAGTTAAGACAGAAGACCCGATAGTAATTGATAGAAGGTCATGCTTTATTCGGCTATTTCATGTATTATTTACAAGTAAATTTAAAAATATTAGTATTATATGCTTAGAAAATACATGTACATGTGTCAACATATATACATGACATAATTTTAACAATATTCTAAACAAATTATTTAGACTTATATTTTAATAATATCCCAAAAATTATCATTTCTTTTTATCTTAATATATCATCAGTTTAAATAATCTAAAACAATGATTAGACATATGCAACATTTACATTACTGATTAATAAAGAAAATAAAAATATATATATATAATATTATAGAAACTAATATATTACCTTGCTACATCCTCTTCCAGCTGTCTCTGAAGATATAAATCCAACCTTGATGCTTCATCTGAGGCTGAGCAATCATTTGCAGGCTTACCCCTCGAGTCCGGCATTAAGCATTTCTTACAGTTTCTATGAGAATTAATACATTAATTAATATTATAATAAAAATATATATGTGAAAAGGGAAACAATTATAATTATATTCAATAATAATATATATTTTTTATATTTAACAAGCTTAACAATCATATATTCCTGTATGTACTTATATTAGTGAAAGTGGTTAGTGTTTTTATTTGTATGTCCTACTTTCTCATAGCAATGAATCAACAATCTTTTAACACTAAATTTTGAGAGATGGAACTGGTGAACAATTTACCTCTATATTTAGTTATATATAAGTTATAACTGTTTGTAGGTTAGCAATATATATCTACTACATGATTCTTTTAAGTTGTTTTTATAATGAAAAAATTAAGTCTGCTCACCAATGATAATTTAAAATATAACATAAACAAAATATTATATATGTACAGCACTGTTATATGTATTGAAATACTATATAATACACATGAATTATATCAATGATAGAATTAGGCACAAAATATAGTAACTAAAAAGGGCATTGCAATATTATCTTATCTTCATTTTCTTCTGCAACAACTTATCCTTGTTATCATAATATCAAAAAATATATCAAATTATATCTAATGACAGTGTACCATTAGTTTATTTTACACTAATACTTTATTATATTAATACAGCAATGACAAAAAATCTACCATAAATTTATTTAATTTCAAATCATTTTATACAATTTTACATTTCGTCCATCATTAATAGCTTTATATTTTTTGTAACAGCAGTGTAAAAATTATACTACAAATAGTAAATAATATTCCGTCCTAATACATTTTATATTCAAAACATGTTCCTATTGTCTGCAGCAAATATAATTAAATTATGACATCATGCAGATCTCGGAGCGGGATTAATTTTTTGTATGAACAAGTCTACTACTGATTTAAACTATCGAAAAATAGTAAACTAATGCGAAAAACAAATAATAGGCTGTGAAAATTTAAATTAAATTAAGAATGTTTTACTATAAATGCGTAATACATTATAAATAAATTAATACGCTGCTCACATGCGTTAATTATGGCAATAATCAAAGTTAACTTATTGTATAAAGCCAAAAATATTGTATATTAATTCTCGTGACATACCAAAAAGAATCCAATAGTATTTTGTAAATTTTTCATCTTCTTAAAAATTGTGCACCACAATTTTTTGATAAATGTTTAGTGAAAAACACAGTAAAGCACTTTTATCTCGGTATATGTCAAAATAATAGTTTATAAATTGTTACTTTTCATTTAGGTATGTCTATGTTATTAGGCATTAGGCACTACATCTACACACTGGCTAAGTTGCCACTTGCCGATCGATCGTCACTAGCGCCATTAATATGACACACAATACGCCATAATATAAGCCTCGCATATAATCTACACCGAACAGTTTATACACTTCGTACGGGATATAATTATAATATTTGTTAATATAAAATTTCTAGGTAGTATCATTTGCTTACCTTTATAAAGTCTAAAAACGATACCCAACAAATTAGTCTGCCGGTCTAAACAAGATATTTGTCTCACTCTCAAAATTTTACGCATGCGTAAAAATATCTTATTGGAATTTAAATACAAAAACCAAAAATTTTTGCAAAAATTAATTAGCCATTTAGGCCACGGTATAACAAACAACAATACATATTTATAAAAATAGTTAAGGCAAATGCTATTACATATTTACTAATACCATACTCAATCTTTATTTTAAATAAACGTTAAACGATAATTGTGAAGAGTTTAAGGCAAAACTTATCAAGTGTTTTAATTAAAAATGATCCCCTAATGATGACAGCAAATTTATTTTATGAAATGTTTCTTAGGAACTTAGTATGGACAAAATAGAATTAGAATTCCAGGTATTAAATAACTTCGATAGTCTTTTAATTATCTAGGAAAAAAGTTATACAAAAAAGCCGATACCTAGTATTAGGGCAAGTGTACACGAAGTGAAATCATTTCTAAGTTGTTCTTAAATTTATCTTTTGAAAGCCTGGAAACATTACTATTACCACTTATTCACAACTAGTCTTGTTTAAAAAAGGCCTATTTTATTTTTAAATTTATTGTCCCTTAACATAATCTTTTTTTAATGTGATGATAGATTTTAAATTAGTCTCCTAAATAAAGCAAATGTTAAAAATGTTTACTGTTTTTTCTTAATCAAATATCATTTTAACAACAGTCATTAGGTAATACTAGCCACAGAGTATTGCAATCTTAAAATGTATATTACCCAGTAGCAGTACTGTCAAATCATATAAGTGTGCTCAAAATGAACATTACATGTTTTTTGGTCACTGTTTTTTAAATAAAGTATTATAGAGTCCATATTGTATTTATTTGGTATATTTACAACTTACCTATAATAGTAACTCTCTGAGTCATTTAAAACGAAACATTGAAATTGATTAATATTTTATTGTCATTATATAAGTGACAAAATATTTTATAAACCATTATCATAATGTATTCCATGGTGTAAGTAACATTTCAAGTTAAAGTTACTAAATATCCCAAAAAATGGATGGCTCAACTGAGAACTGGGACCCTGGTAAGTTTATTATTTCGTTAGTACTAATATACATGTCAGGTCCTGTAATCTCTTAGACATTTCTCTTGTTTTTATACTTCTTAGATACCAAGTAGTAACTACTGTCTTGTTATTTTAGCTCTTACTCGCTTATTGTCTTCATTAAAAGATGTTCAATCTGGTGGTGAAGATGTGGCTTTCCTCAATGAACTCCTTCAGTCAAAGCAGCTTCATGCACTTGTTCAAGTGCACAATAAGATTGTAGCAACTCAATGCAAGGATGATAAGTTTTATCCCTTATTATCTAATGCAATGCAGGTCACATTAGAAGTTTTAGAAATGTTTGTTGATGTAGTACAAATCTCCAGTGAATACAAAGAGTTGTTAGGTCTCCTACAAAAGCCTCATTTTCAGGTTTGATATTACTAACAAGATGATGAATTATATTTATTGATTTAATATGATTTGATGCTATGTGTATGCTTCAGGCTATACTTTGTACACATGATGCTGTTGCACAGAAAGACTATTACCCACATTTACCGGACATACCGCCTGATGCTGATGATGAAGAGGAAACCGTTAAAATTGTCCAACTGGTCAAAAGTGACGAACCTTTGGTGTGTAACACTACGCAGTCTTAACTATATTTGTATATTACAATTTATTTTCATTTAGAAATAGCAGCTATGTTTATAACAATAAATAATGTTAATAAATTTTAAAATTTAATTTATTATATATAATTATGTATGTTTGTATATAAATAATATGTAACTCTATTATGTATAAATATGTGAAGACACTAAGAATGGTATTGAAGGTATATTTTTTATTAAAAGGGTGGAGCTCAGAGCGCAGAGCCTATAGTGGTGAGTGTATTTAGTATAATAAATGTGCTTTAATTGATCTTATTTACCCTTCTGGATTGAATTGTCATGCCTCCCCTTCCCGAGTAATAGAATCATTTATGTAAGCAAAATTTTAAGTTATGTTCCGCTTAAATCGAATCATACAAATAGCTATAAACATTTTCTAAGAAATTTTATGCTATTTGACAATCAATTGAGGAGATGATGAGAGTTTAAGTTTATAAATGTAATGTATTCTTATATCCTGCAACTTCATATATTGTTTTTATTTATTAGCTGCTATCTCTAGATGATCTTGAATTAATATGTACTGTTACATTATTATTTATGCCTTTAATCTTTTATTTATACTGTATTTTATACTTTTATTTTTATTTAACCATAAATAAATGTCATAGGCAATCAAAGACCCGCACGCAAAACATTTCAACACACTTTGATATGATCTTGCTGTATTTTTCTTTTACTGTGATCTTCCTAGTTATGTCAGTCAAAAAATGATTGTATTGTTTAGCCCTTATAATAATAATTATATTTTTTTGGTAGTATATTTTGTATGTTCTTGGAATGTTTTGATATTTCAAGGGTGCTACGATCAAAACCGATGAGGATACCGGTAAGATCGTGATAGCTCGTGTGATGCACGGTGGTGCAGCCGATAGATCTGGTCTGATACATGCTGGGGACGAAGTTATTGAGGTCAATGGCATCAGTGTGGAAAGCAAGACACCAGCTGATGTTCTATCTATACTGGTATGTTTTTCAAAGTATTGTTTAACACCTTATTATACATTTGTTTGTCCATAAAACATTAAGTATATACTATATTATATGTCTTGAATTAATTTGAGTTATATTTTTATATTAATCAATAATATACATATATTATTTTTGTTTATATATTTATACCTACTTATTCAAATAAATAAGCTTATTTAGTACCACTTTTCTATGCGTAAATAAATATAAAAATCAAAATAATATCTTTAAGTTGCGTCTTACTTTAAAAACTTCTGTTTTTGATGTTTTCCTCTAGAAATCGGAAAATTGTGGTAGTTATATAGATTTCATGATAAATAATAATTTATCTAACATAGGAAGTAGTTTTCGAATCGATCAATTTCTGAAGCAAACGAGATTAATTTTGTAATATCAGTAAATATATGTATATCAATACGATATAATTATTATATAATTTCGAATTTTTTACCAAGAAATAATAATATTGCATATAATTCCTGTGATCATCTTTAAAAGTTTTTATAATTAGACGACGTGTTTAAAACGTGTCCTAAAAACATTTCCCGTTGACATCCTTAAAATTACTGATGCTTGTATATTGCTTAGTTACCGTTTGACCTAAATTCGGTAGGCCCATGGTGTTATCGATTGCATGAAACGATGTCCCCAATGCTTTAAAGGTCGTCATATCGCCCTACTTTTTTTCCACTAGCCTAGACCTGAAAGCTATTTAATTGTCACATTTTTTTATGTTCATATCCATTCCCTCTTTTCCAATACAATAAACTAATTTGAGGTCACGACTATAAATATAAATAAATGATGAATGCGTATATGTTTACGTTTTTATATGAGTGCTTTTGTTATGAGCTGAATTTGATAGAGAATTAAATTAAGATGATTATTTTTCCAGCAAAATTCGGAAGGTACCATAACGTTTAAATTGGTACCGTCTTTCGGTAAAGGTGGTTCGAGGGAGAGTAAAGTAAGGGTGAGAGCACTGTTCAACTATAATTCCTCGGAAGATCCTTACATCCCTTGCAAAGAGGCAGGTCTTAACTTCAAAAAGGGTGACATTCTTCACATTGTGTCCCAAGACGATGCTTATTGGTAAGCATTTTATTGTTAGCGCGACACATTATACTTACTTAACTTTATATGTATATGCACTAGAAGACTCGGCGAACTTCGTATCGCCCTATAGTCAAGAAATATCTGTTACGTTTTTTTATTTACATTTTTGGAGTTTACCTATTAAAGCCATAAATCTCCGTGCTTTGAAGTGCGACAGAATGATTGACATATTAGTTAGTTGTCAAATCTTATGTAAAAAAAAACGTTTGTATCAACAACTACTAATAAATTAAACATTAATTAAAAAAACATTCCCAAATCTAGACCATTCCCAGATCCCCTTGAAAACACACAAAAAAATTCATTAAAATCGGTCCAGTCGTTTGAGAGAAGTTCAGTGAAATACACACTCACAGAAGAATTATATATATAAAGATAGTATTTAGTCTATTAGATTAATTACCTTCAAGAAGGAAAACAGTAGGTTTCGATATAATTCAAACTACCTAATATCTATTCAAGTGAAATGAAGGAAAGACACTTTTTTTTACTCTATTAATATAATAAGTCAGATAATAAATTTGGGACTTGTTACACATAAAATACATCTTAAAAATAATAAAATACAGTTTGTAATATCGTTGACTCATATTTTGATGGAAATTTGAAAAAGGAATCTCTTTCATTCTATGTACATACATGTAAATAAACGAATATAATATTCTTCTATATAAAAAACAACAAATTCTAGATAATTTTAAACTTTTTTCGGTCGAAAATATATGAACACGCTTTTTGAAATAAGAACCAAATATTAGCTTTAGAAAAGATGTTGAGCGCTTTTTAAATAACAAAATAGGCCATCTATGCATTAGTGCTTAATCCGATGTATTTTCTATATTTCCAGGTGGCAAGCTCGTCGTGAGGGTGATAGAGTGATGAGAGCCGGTCTGATACCTTCGAGGACCTTGCAGGAGGGCCGCATTATACACGAGAGACAAACAGACCCTCAGACTCTTGACGGTTTGTATTTTTTAGTATTGTCACTATGTATTAAACATAATCGTCTTTTAATATACTCGTATCACTGAAAAAAAACTTTAAATACAGGGTTGGCATACTATATTTAACATTTGCTTTTTAACGTTTCTTTTATAATATACAAAAGTAATAGGAAAAAAAAGCCATTGGTTTAAAATCGCATGATAAAAAAATTTAAAAATTTGATATTAGTCATTAGTGAATACATTATAGTTATCATTATTGAGAAAGACGTTCGAGACGCTGATCGGACTTAAATCTCAATATTATTGACAAATAGTTGCTAGTGTCGTATGATAGTAATAGTATTGTATTAAGCATTGTATTGTACTTAATATCTTTGTATGACTTATGTATCTCATTGATTTTAAACAATTAAATTATGAATAAAGGTCTAACAGCAGTCGTACCAAGGATATTGTCTGTCTTTCGACACCTTAACGCTCGTAACGTCACTAAAATAGGATCTTTAAATATTGTGAAATTATCGGTAAAATACATTATATGTATTTTACTAATAGCCGAAACATGCTTATACACTTTTATTTAATTTTTAATATACTATTTAATATAGAAATAACATAAGATTACTTTACGAAGCATGTTTTGGCTACCGTTTCTTTTAGTTTTGTGATTATAAATTAAAAATTAAAATTTCATGTAAAAGACTATCAGTTATTAAAGCAAACTAAATACGTACAGCTTTTAGTTGTAATTTTTTGTCTTTTAATACCACTTTTGCTAAATGCCAACGGCTAGAAAAATCTATTAAAATTAATAATAATGAATATTCTTTATATAAATTCAAATAATTTTAATAACCAATTGCAAAGAATTAATTAAAAGAATCGAATAGAATTATAAGTTTTGCCTTCCCCATTTTTTTTCAACTTGTGGTTTGTCAGATGTTATATAAAAACTTATATAGGCATACAAGTTTTTATATAACATCTTATATAGGCATACAAGTTTTTATATTATATAAAAACTTATATAGGCATACAAGTTTTTATATACTTGAGGCAATGGATGACAGCTGCTCATGCCAGGATAGTAAATTTTTGTTCTCAGACAAATGCACCTCTAGTTCCAACAATGTTTTAGTGACCAAAATAGTAGACTTAGTGCATGTACACAATTTAGGTCAGAAATGAAAACTTTCTAATACACATTCTACCACTTACATTATCACTACTGCTATTATTTTTATTTTATAAGCAGACTAAATTCAGTTGATCTAAAAACTTTGTTTACACATAAACTAAGATTAGTAAGTAAACCAACAACTTCAAAAGATATATTTTTTTGTTATATTTAATATGATTTAATATTTTGATCTGGATATAAGTTATATTTCTCTAATTGTTGTCCTGTGTAAGAATGTTATGCTATATAATTTTTCACCTTTAAAGTGTTCTACATTGTTTTACTATAATCGATATGTTTCTTTGCTTACAGGTAAACCAGCACTTTGCAGTCCAACAGCTGCTAATTCCGAATGCGGTCCCAAGACTCCATGCTCGCCGACTCCCAACGCTGCCGCTCTATTGCCCTGCAAGTCTATGCCTAAAGTGAAGAAGATTATATACGATATAAAGGAGAATGATGACTTCGACAGAGAATTGATACCGACTTATGAGGAGGTGGCCAGATTATACCCACGACCCGGGTTCATTAGACCCATTGTTCTTGTTGGGGCTCCCGGCGTAGGAAGGAATGAATTGCGAAGGAGGCTGATTGCTTCCGATCCCGAAAAATACGTCACCCCCGTACCATGTGAGTATGCTGTGCGTTACTATGTTGAGTATCGTCTCTTAAACGCTTATTATACGTATTCGGGTTCCCTATTAATTTGCTATTACGATTTTAAATTGTCGTTTTCTCTCTCACTTTTTCGTCTTATTTCGAAAATCTTTTTATTATGAGACTTGCAATTGTTGTTTTTATGTGTTTTTCTTTTTTATTTTATGTTGCTTTTATATTGCTTGTGATTTTTGTTCAACTACAGCAAAGTTTGAGTTCTCATATTTGTTGGTTGGGGCGTCTTATTAGCGATATAATTATAGCATTGCGATAAAATAAATGAAAACCAATAAGCAAAGGAATGTTTAATACAACTAACAAAGAAACAATTCTTTAAGAATTTTCTTGTATGCTCAGCAATTATTAGTTTATAATCTATTCTTTATTAAAATTGTTAAAATATTATAGTTTGTTTGTTTGTTTGTAGTTTTCTCACTTTAAAAGGCTGTTTAAATTTAATTTATTACATATAAGAGTAATATAAAGAGTTGATATATAACATAACTTTATTGATCTGGTTCAATAAGATACAATAATTATAAATATATATTGTGCTTTGGATATGTGCTCAATTTATCTATTGTTTTTATTGCACTTTTTGTTTTTAATTTGGCATTGCAATGTAGATTACTTTGAACATTGACCTCAACATTTAACCTTCAAGTTTACGTTTATTTATATTTATTGAGTTAATATTATTTTCATTGTTTTTTGTTTAGTATTATTTTTGCTAAGTTTATTTTATCATCTCTGAGCTTTTGTCGTCTTTTAAAACTCATTTATTTAATTTAAGTCAAAACAATTTTATCCATAACTAATCAAAAACAGCCTGAAATAATTCTTATTTTATAAAGGCTGATCACACGTACATATGTTTTAAGCGAATTTGAAAAGAAATTACACGCTGCGCCTTATTTACGTATTTTTAGGCTAATAAAATTTATACATGACATAATTACTTCCTTACTTTAAAAATAGACGATAAAGATTTTTAAATAAGAAAGAATTATGACCCACTAAAAATATATATTTTGGGTGAACTATTTTCCTCAGCCTTGCAACATTTTTAACAGCGTTGGTATTCTACTGCAACTGTAATTCCCTTCCTCCCCTTTCTCTCTAATATTTTTTAGTATAACATCATAAACCACATCAAAACCTACAAAATAAACATGTGTACCAATACAATTTGCATTACAATTTACGATTTAACTATAGGAAACTTTGCTTAAAATTCGATTTACCATTTCATTTCTTTTCCCTGAACTCAGTTACTGCAAAATATACTATAAGTATATATATGGACAATAAAATCTGAATAAAAAAAAAGTCTTTTTAAGAGTTTTTTTTGAACATTTTAGTACGGTCTCTGGTATTTGCTACTATACTCTGATAATTAAATCTTATAGCCACTAGTCTGGTATGTAAGATAACTATGAATAATTTATTTTCGATTCGACTTCAGACTGGTTTTTAATATGGCGAAGGGAGAATAGGTACGACTCTAGTATCCGGAAATTCGCTGATTCGAGCTCCAATATCCCAGGAGGCCTAGAATTCATTTCAAAATATCTTAACATAGTACACAAACCTTGGGCAATATGGGAAAAAACTGGCCAATTTATAACACTGAGGCATATTTCAAAAATAAATTTCTATTGCTACTTACTACCTAGTTGGTAGTCAGGTCACTAATTCTTGTGACCGGGGAGTTTAGGCCACGGATTGTATGATAGAAATATTTTGAGATATACCTAAATAAGAATATAATTTTATTTATTTAGATTTACAAGAATTTCATACGATGGCCTCATTTTCGCCCAAATTAAGAACAAATACCAGTACCCAATTTTGTTGGTCCCAACTAGGGCAAGTCCTTTAAGATAGTAGAAGATACTGAGAGCCTGAATGAAGTCTTCTTCCATTAAAATAGGATATATAAAGCAATCTTGCTTGTTAGTATATACTATATGACAATCGCAATTAAGAGTATAATAACTAATTTTCATTATCAATTGTTAAGTAAATATAGCTCGTACTTTTTTTCAATTACTTTACTTCTTTTATTGGTAAAAGAATGTTTTTTTTATGTATATTTGGAGAATGCCAAAATTGTTCCTTTACACAAAAAAAGGAAAGTCAAATCATTTACTCTCCCATTCTTCCTATTCTATCTGAAGTCTATGAGCGCGTTCTCATCAATTAACTCTTTTCTACATAAAACATAATCACTAGAATTGTTTACAATCCCGTTACCACTAACATCTTGGTGCAATTTAGTAGTCATTGATTAAAATTATCAAACACATTAAGCTCCTATGAAGAAGAGTCAAGTAACTATATAAACGATTTCAATAACGAATTCAATACTGTCAACCTTGACACCTTATTGGCCATTCTTGTTTCTGTATATATCTCTTGAGGTGATTGATTGATTTCATTCTTAGTTGCGTGGTCGAAGGAAACGAGATTATCGGTTCTTTCTCTTACTGGTGATGTAAGGTGGCGTGTTGTTACTCTTTCTTTTATAAACTTTCATTAGCTATAAAATCTTTTTTCCATACCATATTCATGCCGACGATTTGTAAATATAACACTAGTCTAAAGGATCTAAACTCCTTCAACACATGGTGTTAATATTTTGGAATAAAGTGAATGTTTCAAAAACCCACAATATTATAATCGGTAAATAAAATGAATCTTCAATTTCTTGTCATGGCAGTAAGGAAAGTAATATAAAAGAAATGAGCTAGATAAAAGAAATAGGCGACTGTCTGCTCCCTCTTTATTAAAATGCTTTCAGTTTGTAAAGATACAATTTTTTGATTACAGCCTCGGACCATATTCTAATATATTTATACAAAATTTTCGTGATTATAGGTTTTACAGCCTTCCTGCTTTAATTATATACTTCTATATATAGTTCATTTCAATAGAAATTGGCAATCTTATAAACAAACGTGATCAGCTGATATTGACAAAGACTTGTCTATACCCATAGTGATGTGAGTACTCTTCAAAATACTTTAATCTTAATTATTATATCAAATTATTTTTATAAAAAAATACTTCAATATGTTTATATTTTGTTAAGTATTTATTAGTGAGCTTTTTTTATGAGTTTAGAAATGCAGAACGCAAACGAGAACATAGAAGACTTGTTTGCATTCCAAAAGCACTAAAAATTCTTTGTTCCTTGGAAAACCAAAGCCCCCAAAGACCATGCCATCAAGGTCAATAAGTAATACGAGATCACTAACGATTTAAAAAAATGTTTAATTTGTACTTTTTAGCGCTACCTATGTTTATTTTCGTCTGCTATATACCAGAAAAAATGCATTTCTAATTGATTGACTGACTTCATCACAGTCTGTTGAATACACTGTAGTATAAGCAATTTTTTTGATATTTGTGAGTTGATTTTAGTTCAAATAATAATGATTATAAATATATTTATTTAAAAATGAAAGTCGTATCAGGTGAACCATTTATAGTTTAAGAACGGTTTTACTGTCTCTAAGGAGAAACGTAGTTCCCCCGGTCTACATACATTTCTTGGTTTGAGCTAAGTAAAGTAACGGAAGTCGCTGACAAAAAGTAGTTCATTGTATAATTATTATGTTCAACACAATTTTTTCGAAGACAAATAGACTCTGATGAGTAAAAAATGAGTGTGTCAATGTGATAAATGCAATAAATTTTCATGTACAAAATAATTTTATAAAATAAACATTTATACACAGTTATTTAATGATGAAAAGATGGATAAAAACAGTGGTGGGTTCATTAAGATGTCTTATGTTTACTATCAGGACTGACATTCAATTGTACATAAGAACGGAGTAATCGTGGTCAGTTGCTTTGTTTACAAGATTGCCAATTTTTATTGAAATGGACTATAGATATATATTATGCATGTATATCTGGGATATGTGTATAGAGAACGTGTTCTTTGGTCTTATTTTGGTTAAGTCATAAAATCTTCATTCTTTCGACGTTTTCAGGATTGCTAAAGCTCTAATGTAGCACTTGTTTATTTCCCATAAGGGCCATTTAAATATCGTTATTGTTCATATTTGTTAATTTAATTTTTATTACTTTATAACTAATGAATAGAATAAGTGCTTCAAATATTAAGCAACTATTATATTATATAATTTTTTTTGCGTAAGAAACCTCGATGAATTTTTTTTTTCTTGCATACAATGCAATAATCCTTTTAAGATAAATTTGATAGTATATATTCTTTATTCATCATCAGGCTATTAGAGCCCACTGCTGAGCAAAGGCCTATTTCTCACATGGAGAAATTTTGAGCATTAATCACCACGCTTGGTCAAGACGGGTTGGTGATTATATTCTTTATTACTTTTATTTAAAACTACTATTGTAATGAAAATATTTTGTCTTTATCTGCAAAGCCTACACTTTGAAACTACTAAACCTATTTGCGTCATATATATATACAAAGGAAAAAATATATAACTAGGAAGCTACTGAGCTATAATTTAATATTAAAGGGAATAGACTGAAATTTAATTACATTTTCCATTGTGTTCAAAAATGTGTAATTTGTTTTGTGAAAATGAATTATATGAGCTCTCATAAGGTTGTATTCATTAATTAAATCAAACCAAAATGTACTTCGAATTTTCCAAACTAGTAGTGTATGTAGTGTAAATTGTACTACTGAATTAATTATGATGACATTAGTTTGACTGTGGCAATCCTGTATTACATGCGCGCCGCATAATAGAGATCATAATAAAATCTATATATATAAAAGAAAGTCGTGTTAGTGACTCCACTTATAACTCAAGAATGGCTGAACCGATTTAGCTGAAAATTGGCAGGGAGGTAGTTTAGAGCCAGGAAACTGCAATAGGATACTTTTTATCCCGTTCGACAGCATTCCCGTGGGACTTGACATGAAACGTCAGTCACTATAAAACGTGGAATAACGAAACACAATTGACAGCTATGTAATTGACGTATAATGACAGATATGTAATGACGTAATGATGACAATTAGATATTTGTAAGAGATCTACTATATAAAAATAAGTCCGGTCCGGAACGAACTAATTTCCACGGTTTTGCATTCGTTGGAAAGGTCCCGGGTTCCGTGAGGTATATAACAAAAAATTTCAACAGAAAAGCGGGAAAATCTTTTTTCACATACAGCGCCATCATACATAACATGTACTACAAATCAATATTTTAAGTAAATGGTGCCGGTGCATGATACA